CTTGCTGGTCGAGGGACGCGACAGGTCAGCAAGGAAACATTTTCAGCTTTGCAGTTCCACCTGGCTGGTTTCTGCCCAGGTAGCACAAAAGCAACCAAAAACAATCTGCAAACAAATGGACATAGCTGGCTTCCAATAAGACTTTACAAACACGTGCAGCTGGGCCGACGCCGCGGCTCACTAGGCTAATCCTCTGCCTTGCGGCGCCGGCACACCGGGTTCTAGTCCCGGTTGGGGCGCCGGATTCTGTCCCGTTGCCCCTCTTCCAGGCCAGCTCTCTGCTGTGGCCCGGGAGTGCAGTGGAGGATGGCCCAAGTCCTTGGGCCCTGCACCCCATGGGAGACCAGGAGAAGCACCTGGCTCCTGCCTTCGGATCAGCGCAGTGCGCCGGCCGCGGTGGCCATTGGAGGGTGAACCAACAGCAAAGGAAGACCTTTTTCCCTGTCTCTCTCTCTCTCACTGTCTACTCTGTCAAAAAAAAAAAAAAATTAACAAAAAACAAAAAAACGTGCAGCTGACCAGATCTGGCCCACAAGGCTCCAGTTTGCTCGGAGCTTAGGAAATAAGTCCGTAGTCCCATACCCAAATCGTTCTTAAGTCTGTAAACATCTATTGCATTTTCCTCCTGTGCCCGGCTTTCCTAAACATACAGTTGTATCTGGAATCCGGCACTCGGGAAGCACCTTCGCCGTACCTGCAATGCACCAGAATCGGCGACTCGGGAGGGCTCTGCTTCATGTAGTCGCGGACAAGGTAGCGAAAGTTGATGAGCAGGTCGGTGGTGTCCGGGACGCCATGGTCAGGCCAGGAGGTGAAGTGGAACTGCCGCAGAGCGTGGCTCTCGCTCGTCTGGACCTAAAAACCAACCAAAGGGGTGAGACGCAAAGAGAAAGGCTGTCTGCCAACAGCCAATGGACAGGGGGAGTCGGGCAGAGCCTGAATACCAGACCGGCAGCCGGACAGGAGCGGTCACTACCAAAACCGAGAACTTCTCATGCGGACCATGGCTGGCGGAGTGCCTGCAGGGGACTTAGCTTGTTTATCACTCCCTCGGAGGATGCCCTGCACAGATGAGGGACAGAGGTTCCGAGAAAAGGGGCCCGGCTGCCCCACCACTCATCACCAGGGCGGGAGAGCTCCGGCCCTCGTCCTGTGACTCTGGGTCCAGATCGCCCCCCTGGCCCACTGCCTGCCAGCCACGGACACGCCTTCATACACCTGCGCCCCGTGGAGCTTCCTGAACCCCATCTGCGGGCCCACTTGGGGTATCACTGAGTGTGCAGCTGAAAATAGCCCACACAAACACAACTAGGGTAGCCAGCACCTCGTGGGCAGGACCAGACGGGCATTCGCCAGGATGCATTCTAGTCCTCACTCAGACGCGCCGACGAAGGCACGGCAGGTCCCTGGGTCTCCCGCACGACCACCACCCTCTGAAGCCTTTCCTTTAAAACTGTGTATCCGTTATAAGCACAGTGAGGTTACATCATTCAAAACTTGGAAAACAGGGAGGAGGAAAAAGGTAGAGAGAGAGGAGAACACGCTGGGAAGTCTCCACAAATGAACTCAGCACTCCCAAATCTAACAAAAGTACCTATCCAAGGAAAGAAACCAACGGCGAGAGACGAGGGGGCGGGAGGGAGGCGAAGGTTCTACTCCTCAGAATCCCCTCTGCAGAGGGGCGTGGGGGCTCAGCCAGGAGCGCGAGCGCAAAGCAGCTTTTAGCTCTGCCTGTGATGTTCTCGGTTTTTAAAAGGAAAACCTATTTCTGCATTTTGTGTAATTAAATCTGGAACCACCAGATTAAAGAGAAGCTGCAAACAATTACAGCACGATACACACCCACCAGTGGATATCAATGTCAAACACTCTCAAAAAAAAAAAAAAAAAAAAAAGACATATATAAACTTGACTGCCTAGAATTCCTACACAATTGAAGTAGATATGATTTTATAACTTTCAGGGGGTAGGGAGGCCCCGTGCATAAGCCCTGGAATCTTACTGATGGAGGAGTTACAAATTGCTGCTAATAGCAACTGTCCACTCCTGACGCCAAACTTCCCACTGAATAATCCAAACGGCCTGGGTTTGTGCGGAGAACTCAGAGCAGGCACTCAGAAGTGGAAGCAAAGCATTGCTGATGCACAGCCACACTCCGCCGAGCCCTCTGATTCAGGAATAACTTCGCCAACTCCCCTCGAGACAGGAAAGCTAAGGGTGTATGCAGACTTACGGACTGCAAGAACGTTCATCTGATACATAAAAACTCTGAGTTCGTATGAACCCAGAAGTGACCTCTGAGAATTAATATACGAGGTAGTAGTATGAGACCCACTCATCTTGATCTCTTACTTACATTTTTCACTGTGAAATCTCTGACGGTCCATTCTGGAAGAACAATTTCGGTTGTCATGGCCACGGTTATGTCCCCATAGTCCTGAGCCTGCTTGGAGGGCCAGTACTCCTCACATTTTGTCTAGAATAAAATTGCATTTTTAGGAAAGAAAAAAAAAAAACTCAGATCACACCATCTGCCGTCACTACAACCTCACACAAGGAGACCAAATATTGAAAACTGGCCTTGGGGGCTGACGCTGTCCCTTATCTGTGCCCTGTTTGCTCCTTAGAATTGTCTTTCATTTGTTTGCTTATTTTCAAATTCCACTTTCCATGAACTTTAACTCTTTTATTAATACTAATGTTGGGGCCGGCGCTATATCGCAGCAGGTTAAAGCCCTGGCCTGAAGCACCAGCATCCCATATGGGCGCCAGTTCTAGTCCCGGCTGCTCCTCTTCCGATCTAGCTCTCTGGTATGGCCTAGGATAGCAGGGGAAGATGGCCCAAGTCCTTGGGCCCCTGCACCCACGTGGGAGAACAGAAGAAGCTCCGGGCTCCTGGCTTCATATTGGCGCAGCTCCTCCCATCTGGGGAGTGAACCATCAGATGGAAGACTTCTCTCTCTGTCTCTACCTCTCTCTATGTAACTTTTTCAAATAAATAAAAAATAATTAAAAAAAGAGATAAGTGCACCTGGTTGTCTTCCAAAAACAACCTATTTAAAAAAAATACTAATAGTCCACATTCATGGGCTACAGTGCAACATTTCAATGCATGCAGACAACGTGAGTCAACACCTCTTCTTTCACATCACTCTACCACTGGCTCCTGGGAGCCCTTTTATTTATAAAAATACTTAACAGTTTATCTTAAACTAGAGTCATCACTTGTCAACTCTTTTTCTTAAAAAATACTTATTTATTTATTTGAGAGGCAGGGTTATAGAGAGACAGAGAAGTCTTCCATCTGCTGGTTCACTCCCCTAACAGCCACAACAGTGAAAGCTGAGCCAATCCGAAGCCAGAAGCCAGGAGCTCCTCCATGTCTCCCATGCAGGTGCAGGGGCCCAAGGACTTGGGTCATCTTCTACTGCCTTCCCAGACCATAGCAGAGAGCTGGATCAAAACTGGAGCAGCTGGGTCTTGAACCAGCACCCATATGGGATGCCGGTGCCAAAAGCAGAGGCTTAGCTCACTATACCACAGCACCGGTCTTTTCTTGTCAACTTTTAAAACTGGGAGCTTTTTCATAAAAATCCAGATAACCCAGATTTTGGCTTCACTTGAAAAGTCAGAAGGTCTGCCAACACTGTCCCTCACACTGCATAAAAACTGGTTTAAACCTGAGCAGCAGCTGTCCCTTAACCTGGCTCAGGGTCCCATCCGTCTCCTTTGGCCCCCAGCGCAGCCGCTCCACAACCACGCACTGAACTCTGGGGACTGACCCACAACTCCCAGGCAGCTAAAAGGAATGCAAACTGCTCCTCATACTCTCAGATTCACACCAGCTTGCAGTACAAACCCACACACCAACAGAGGAAGAAATGAAATTATCCGGCGGTCCCCTGATTTTCATAAGGCTGCCGGGCAGACATGAACAGAAATAAAAACCAGGAAACAACTGCACTCCAAGAGCGTCTGATTCCCCATTTGGCAAATGACTTTCTCTCTCTCTGTCTCTCTGTCTCTCTGTCTCTCTGTCACACACACACAGTGTGCTCTGTTACATTTCCAAACCTGATGATCTGACTCACCTGGAAGATTTGTTGTGTTTTTTTTTTTTTTTTTTTTTTACAGGCAGAGTAGTGAGAGAGAGAGACAGAGAGAAAGGTCTTCCTTTTGCCGTTGGTTCACCCTCCAATGGCTGCCGCGGCCGGCGCACCGTGCTGATCCGATAGCAGGAGCCAGGAGCCAGGTGCTTCTCCTGGTCTCCCATGGGGTGCAGGGCCCAAGCACCTGGGCCATCCTCCACTGCACTCCCTGGCCACAGCAGAGGGCTGGCCTGGAAGAGGGGCAACCGAGACAGAATCCGGCGCCCCGACCGGGACTAGAACCCGGTGTGCCAGCGCCGCTAGGCGGAGGATTAGCCTAGTGAGCCGCGGCGCCGGCGATTTGTTGTGTTTTAACCACAGATGCCTGGGCCCCTCTCCAGAGATTCTGACTCCGGCCATGGGATCTGTATATTTTTCTAAAGATCCCAGTTTCTATTATCACTCTCGGAAAATCAGCCCACACATGAACATGGAGTTGATTCCCAGTTCAGCCTCCCACCAGCTAGATGGTTTAACTTGAGAAGCAGAGAGAGAGAGAGAGAGAGAGAGAGAGAATGTTCCTACCCACTGGTTCACTCCCAAATGCCCACAATGGACAGGCCCAGGCCAGGAGCTAGACACTCCATCAAGCTCTCCCACATGGCTGGCAGGAACCCAACGTGAGCCTTCACCATTGCCTCCCAGGGTCTACACTGGTGGCAGCTGGAGTCAGGAGCCAGAGCTCGGAACTAAACCCAGCTACCTGCATAGACAGCACACAGGCATCTTAACTGCAAAGCCAATGCCCGCCCCCAGCCGAATTCCTGTTCCTTCCCTGTAAGCAAGTTCTTAAATTCTCTGGGCCTCAGTTTCTCCATCTATAAAATAATACCTCACCGGGTCATTCTGGGACAGGAATGACATACATGGAGGGGGTGGGAAAGTGTTGTGGCACAGCAGGTTAAGCTGTCACTTGGGATGCAGAGGAAATACGGCTGCAACCAGAGACAAAGGAAGAAAAGCCAACCTCTCCTCCCAGTGCAAACCTTGAAAAGTGGCTGCTCACTATTAACAAGCGAAGCAGCTGCCCACTATCTTGTCTAGGGAGGGGAGATGTCCTAAGTTCTGCTTCTGTAAACGCCAGTCACACATCTGTCCTAATAAATCTGCCCCTGGTATCTTTTTCACAAACATACCAAGCCCACAGACCACTGGAAGTGTGGTCCTAAGTCATGTAGGCTGCAATTTAAACCCACCAACGCTGTAACAGCTAAGGTATGAGGCTGATGAACCTACAAATATTGTAAGACACTTGGGATTGTTGCTCAGTTCTCAGGAAATGATTCCAGCTGAGCCGGCTGGCATTAATCAACTGCTTGATCCTCCACTGTCTCTGGTGCCTGTTTGAATGGAGGGAGTTTTCCCACCCCAGATTTCGGTAACGGGGATGCCTCCATGTCATATGCAAGTGCCTGGGTTCTAGTTCTGCCTGTACTTCTCAATCAGCTTCCTGCTAGTGCCCACCCTGGGAGGCAGCAGATGGTGGCTCAAGCACTTGGGTCTTTGCCACCTGAAGGCCTGGGTAGAGCTCCTGGCTCCTGGATTCAGCCTGCCCTCTTCCCCAGCCCCAGCATTTCAGGAGTGAACCAGTGGGTGGAAGACAGCCTGCTCTAGTTCTGTCTCTCGCTCATTGGCTCTCTCGTTCTCACTCTTTGGAATAAATTAAAATAACTAAGTATTTTCTAAAATAGCACACACAGACAATGCACTGACTTCCTTTCTCTCCCACCAGTAACATCACTTCCATCCCGACGTGAGATGAGTCAGCGCCACCTAAATTCATCGTCAGGTGCTTTAACCGCATCTTCTTGCTGTCTAAAGGATCTTAACAAGAGTGCTTCACGCACAAGGCCCTGCACTCCACAGCACAATCAAGTCCGTCTGCATTCATAAAACAACGCAGTTTCATCTCCCTAACAGCCTGCTCTCCTGCTGCGGACACAGTGCGGCAGCCTCGGCATCACGGCAACACCAAGGGGCCCCTTCCCTGACTGCTCTGTCATCTTCCCAGAACACACACGTGGGCTGGACCAACGCCACTTAAAGTGAAATAACATTTAAAACTATGATGCCCAACGGGTCCACGCTGCCCCCAGGACAGGACTACCCAGAGGGTGCTTGCTAGCTGGAACAGCAGGAATCCAGGAGGCAGCTCCCAGAAGCCCTGGGGGTAGAGCCACCTGCCCAGCCGCCCCCACCACCACCACCACCACCACCCCCCCAGGAAGTCTGTGAGCCATTGCTAAGGAATTAACTCCTGGTACTCAAGTAACAAACCTACATAAAACCAAATTAATGGAGCAACATTATCTGCCATGGTGTTGTAAGTTAGCCCCTGCTTTTCAAAGTTCTCACACCCGTTTCAGGAAGGTGCAATTTTACTTTAGAAGAAATCTCTCTCTAATGGAAATGGCAGGGGTGCTCCAAGCCATCACAAAGGAAAGGGAGGTGCTGAGACTCACCTGGGGAGACAGCTCAGATTCTGCTTAAAGAAAGAGTTCCCATGTTAAAAATAAGTTTGAGGGGCCAGCGTTGTGGCCCAGCACCCCATATGGGCGCTGCTTTGAGCCCCAGCTGCTCCGCTTCTGAACCAGCTCCCTGCTACTGTGTCTGGGCCCCTGCCACCCATGTGGGAGTCCTCCCAGACGAAGTTCCAGGCTCCTGGCTTCAGCCAGGACTGGGTTAGACCATTGTGGCCACCTGGAGAGTGAACCAGCAAATGGAAGATATCTCTCTCCCTCTCCCCTCTCTCCCTCTCTCCCTCTCCCCTCTCTCTCTGTCACTCTGCCTTTCAAATAAATAAATCTTTAAAAACAAACAAAACGCTAACATTGGAAAGTCACAGGGTGGAAACCCCTGCTCTCACAGGGGAAGCTGCGTGTGGGAGACAGGCAGGGCCGCTCCGCATGCCCAGAGCTGACACAGGGCCCCAGCAGGAGCAGCATCTTGCTCGGGCCTCGACGGTCCACAGCACAAACCCAACTCCCACTGTGTACAAACCCCAGCAGCGGCGACACAATCAAGAGGGCAGATTATCAGCTGTCCATAAAGGAAGGCAATGACAAAAGAGAACTGTCTTAACAACCTTCCCCTTGGGGCCAGCCCTGTGGCATAGCAGGTAAAGCCACAGCCTGCTATGCTGGCGTCCCCTCTGGGCGCCGGTTAGTGTCCCAGATGCTTCACTTCTGGTCCAGCTCCCTGCTGTGGCCTGGGAAAGCAGTGAAAGATGGTCCAGGTGCTTGGGCCCCTGCACCCACGTGGGAGATCTAGAAGAAGCTCCTGGCTCCTGGCTTCGGATCAGCGGAGCTCCAGCTGTTGCAGCCATTTGGGGGATGAACCAGCAGATGGAAGATCTCTTTCTCTGTCTCTCCCTCTCTCTCTAACTCTGCCTTTCAAATAAATAAATAAATCTTAAAAAATAAAGCTTTCTCTTAAGGGGAAAAAAGATAAAAGAAACAAGTTTTAAAGACTAAAGGGGCTAATATTTGGAAGGGGTGGGTTTTAAAAAAACAAGTGGGGAGGCTGGCACTGTGGCATAGTGAGTAAAGCTGCCACCTGCAGTGCCGCCATCCCATATGGGCACCAGTTCGAGTTCCAGATGCTCCATTATCTGATTCAGCTCTCCGCTATGGCCTGGGAAAGCAGTAGAAGATGGCCCAAGTCCTCGGGCCCCTGCACCTGCTTGGGAGACCCAGAAGAAGCTCCTGGTTCCTGGCTTCGGATTGGCTCAGCTCTGGCCATGGAAGTCATTGGTGAGTGAACCAGCAGATGGAAGACCCCTCCCTCCCTCCCTCCCTCCCTCCATCCCTTCCTCTCTCTCTCTCTCTCTCTCTCTCCCCTGCCCCTGTGTGTGTGGAGTGTGTGTAATTGTGACTTTCATATAAATAATAAAATAAATATTAAAAAAAAAAAAACAAAGCTGAATGGGTACCAGCATGGGGCCTGAAGATTAAGACCCCAGTGACTGCACCCGCACATGCCTGGCTCTGGCTCCTGACTCCAGCTTCCTGCCAATGCGGACCTGGGAGGCAGTGGTGATGGCTCCAGGGACTGGGTTCCTGCCACCCACATGGGAGAGCCCCAGCTTCCACCTTCAGCCAGATCCAGTCCTAGCCATCGCAGGCATTGAGGGAATGAACCAGCTGATGGAAGCTCACTTGCACTCTCTCTCTCTCTCTCTCTCTGTCTCTGTCTCTGTCTCTGTCTCTCTGCTTCTCCAATATTTTTTAAAAAACTCTTTCAAAAAAATACAAATGTGGGCTGTGAACTAGCACAGCCACTGTGGAAGACAGTATGGAGATATCTCAGAAATCTGAATCTAGACCTACATGTGACCCAGCCATCCCACTCCTGGGAATTTACCCAAGGAAAATGAAATCAGCATAGAAAGAGTTAATCTGCACCCCCATGTTTACTGCAGCTCAATTCACAATAGCTAAGACATGGAATCAATCCAAATGCCCATCAACTGAAGATTGGATAAAGAAATTATGGGATATGTACACCACGGAATACTACACAGCGGTAAATAAAAAATGAAATCCTGTTGTTTTCAACAAAATGGATGCAACTGGAAAACATCATACTTAGTGAAATAAGCCAGTCCCAAAAGGAAAAATACCATATGTTCTCTCTGATCTATGGCAACGAACAGAGTACCTAAAAGGTAATCTATAGAAGTGAAATTGACACTTTGAGATGCATGACTTTGAACAGCCCTTGTCTAAGCTATTGAGGAACATTTTTCTTTCGTACTATTTGTTGAATTCTTTACTTAGTATAGAATTAATCTCCTGTGTATAAAGTTAACTGAAAATAAATCTTGGTAAAAAATAAGAATGGGAATAGAAGAGGGAGGAGGAAGAAGGGTGGGAGGGCGGGTCAGGTGGAAAGAATCACCATGTTCCTAAAATTGTATTTATGAAATGCAAGAGGTTTGTATACCTTAAATAAAAGGTTTCAGGGGTGGGGAGGTGCAAATGGTTTCCACAATTCTTCTACCAGAATAAAAGTAGTTCATTAAATGTTTAATTTTTTTTATTTGAAAAAAAAAAATACTTACCCTTCCCTGCTCAACACATTTGGTCAACATAACAATGGCATGCACGTTTTTCTCCCAAACCATACGCCAGAAATCTTTCAGCGTGTTGGGCAGAGGTCCTTGTGTGGCAATAAAATCTTTCTTGGAATGGTAGCCCTAAACATGGAAAACAACACAGAGTCAACATCAAAGACACAGGAAGAAGCTCTGAAAATGTCAGGGTCACAATCCGGCTCTGTGAGGCCACCCCACACACACTCACAGGCATGTAGCTGGCATTGATGTAGTCATCCGTTGAATGGGTCTGGACTGAAAGCTTGACACGAGAAATGTCATCTGTGACATGGAAAGAAAAACGGGTCCTCAGTGGAAGGCAATGCTTCAGAAAAGTTGCACCCAGGAGAGAAATCGAAAGACACGTGGTTTGGAGGGTGGGCAGTTCAGCATTCCACAGAGATGCCCTCATGTGGTCCTCACAGCCCCTGTGCGACTGTGACACACAGACGTGACGTGATTACCCACAGCAAGCTAATCAGTGGCAGAGACGGGATCTGAACCCTGGCAGCCTGACATGGGCACCCAGAAACAGACACAAACTTGCCCAGCTCAAGAAAGGAAATGATGTCCTTGGAGTCCCAGGCAACAGGCTAAAGCTAAAAGCAGCGCCCCTAAACTTCCCAGTCTATGACTACACGATCTCACTCTCCCCTAGACAAAAGCGTGCAACGCTGAATCCAGTCACCAACGTCCCAACTACAGTCTTCCCCAAGCAAACAATTCCCAAACTCCAAATTCCCAACATACACGCTCCAGATCTGAAAACCCACAGACATGCACACGCACAGACCGGTAATCCTGAGTTAAGATTAGATGGCAATGCTGGGTCAGCAAGCAAACCTACTTTTTTATTTTTTTTTTAAGATTTATTTTATTTATTTGAAAGGCAGAGTTACAGAGAGTCAGAGTCAGAGGCAGAGAGAGAGAGAGAGAGAGAGAGAGAAAGGTCTTCCACCTGCTGGTTCATTCTCTAACTGGCTGTAACAGTGGGAGTTGAACTGATACGAAGCCAGGAGCCAGGAGCTTCTTCTGGGTCTCCCACACGGGTGCAGGGGCCCAAGGACTTGGGCCACCTTCCACTGCTTTTCCAGGCCACAGCAGAGAGCTGGACCGGAAGTGAAGCAGCCGGGACTCAAACCGGCACCCATATGGGATGCCAGCACTGCAGGCAGCGGCTTTACCCACTATGCCACAGCACCGGCCCCTGCCAACCCTCTTTCAAAAGCATGCTTCTCAGAACACTGGCCAGTACCCCCGTCCAAGACAAGGAGGAAGGAGAATGAAGAGAAAGAGCCCAGGAGCTAGAAAATGCTGAAGCTACACAGGAGCTAAGGTTTTAGTCCAGGACAGAAAAAAACAGAAAGACAACACCTCTAAACAGCCTGGTGTAAAAATGACCCACAGAGTCTATCAACGCGGGCTGTGTCGGAACATGGCTGTGAGCCACATCCGTGTTTCTCTGTGCCCGAACTCCCACCCAAAAGAACCACACTAAACTTTCTACAAAGATGTAGTTCCATTTCATCTAATGGGTGGCGTCATAAACAATTCTCATTTCAAATTCCAGTCAGTATCTTTTTGGAAAAACAGCAGACACTGTTTAGTCTCAAAAACAGTAGAGAGGGGCCCAGCATTGTGTCTAAGAGGGTAAAGCCACTTCCTGCAGTGCCAGCATCCCACTTGGGTGCAGGTTTGAGACCCGGATGCTCCATTTCCCATCCAGCTCTCAGCTATGGTCTGAGAAAGTAGCAGAAGATGTCCCAAGTCCTTGGGCCCCTGTACCCACGTGGGAGACCTGAAAGAAAACTCCTGGCTCCTGGCTTCGGATCAACCCAGCTGTGGCCTTTGCAGCCATTTGGGGAGTGAACCAGGGATGGAAGACCTCTGCCTTTCAAATAAATAAGTCTTAAAAAAAAAAGGTAAAGATCTACATGTAACTCATAATTCTCTGTGAAATGCACTCGACCAATCAGAGGTATGGACAGGCAGAAAAGTGTGACTCTGCTCCATCTCATTCCAGAACTAGACAACTATAATAAAGGGACTGAGAGGTAGGCCCTGAGACAAGACCCACAGACCCGGTCCAAAGGCTGGTTTGGCCATTACAGCCTCTAATTGCTCCTTGAAAGGAAGTCACCTGTAGCCATGCTGAGTCTCGTTCTTGTCATCTGAGAAACAAATATTCTCCCACCTACTTCACAAGGTTAGGGTGAAACTAAATGTAATGAACTTAAGTAGTGCTTCGTACACAGCAAGTGCACAAGCAATGGTGGAGGAAATGGCGAGTTAGTGTCACCGACTCCTCCCCCTCTATTGTTACAGTTCTGATGGCCAGTGGCGGAGGAAACGGGGAGATGGTTGCATACAGTCACTTACAGGGCAGAACATTATTATAGCGATTCTTCCCTCTATTCTCAGCCAATTCAGCTGCATATTTGGGTAGGCTGATTCCAACGAGCTTCAGATCCTGCAAACAAAGCCGAACAGTTGTTCATTTAGTCTTCGAATCTTACTCTGAGCAAGAGCAGGACAGACAAGGCAGGGATCCAGAGGTAGCATGGGTTAGAAGGTCTGTGGCCATTTCTAGCCCCCAGGACTCACGCATGGGTTAGAAGGTCTGTGGCCATTTCTAGCCCCCAGGACTCACGCATGGGTTAGAAGGTCTGTGGCCATTTCTAGCCCCCAGGACTCACACATGGGTTAGAAGGTCTGTGGCCATTTCTAGCCCCCAGGACTCACGCATGGGTTAGAAGATCTGGCCACTTCTAGCCCCCAGGACTCACGCATGGCATCTTATTTGGAAATAAGGTCTTTGCAGATGTAATCAAGTTAACATGAGGTCACGTGGAGTAGGGTGGGCCCCTGATCTAATGCAAGTGGTGTCCTTAGAAAAGGAAAGAGATGAGGAGACACAGCCACACGAGGGGAGAAAGGCGTGGGAAGACGGAGGCAGAGACTGCAGCAGTGAGGCCGGCTGGGCTGCCAGAAGCTGCCAGGGGCCAGCAAGGACCCTCTCCTGGAGGCTTGGGAGGACCACATTCTGGCAACGCCCTGATTTTGAACTTGTGGTATCTAGAACTCTGGACAGCTAATTTCTGCTGATTTAAGCTCCTGTTTGAGGTACTTTGTTACAGCAGCTCCGGGATACTAAGGGAGTTCAAAATGAAAGCTTAAAGGAGATTACAGCCCAGGGAAGAGGCCCAGGCGGCCAGCACTAGCACTCAGTCGGGCAGCATTAAGCCAATGCTGAACCCTGATGCCAAGCGGCAGGTGACAGGTGTAACAAGGCACTCTGGGGACAAAGACCTCCAGTCCCCCTACTGGGGTCCGTGAAATCAACTCAGAGCAGGGGACACCTGGGCTGTGGCTGGGGTGGTGAGTGGAATCGCAGGAGAGCAAAGGCCAAGCCTGGGGCAGCACAGGGAGGACGGGTGTGCATGGACATTCGGAAGGGGCTAGTTCCTGGGCTAGGGTGGGGATAGCCTTTAGAGGGGACTTAAAGGCATACACAATGGCCGGGCAACCCCCTCCTCAGGACTTTAACCCCTGAGTTGATGTCAACTGCTCAGTCATGGAGCCCCAGTCCCCTACAGGCCCCATCTGGTTCCTTCCCAGATCACACAGTCCGTAAGTCCAATTCCCAGTCCCTGCATCTCTGGCCAGTCTGCAGGTATGAAGAAGGGCAAGCACACGATGCACTGGACACTGGACGGTGCAGGCCTCCTACTCGCACACAGCCAACGGGGGACCCCAGGGGACAGGAAGTGCTTCTCTCACCCCTGGGGGACAGCGACCTCTGACCCAAAGCTTCCCTTAAGGCAGAAACTTTGAGACACAAAGCAAACACGGGCAACACCAGGCTCACAGCACGTACTTCGTATTCCTCTGCGAAGCCACAGTTGGAGTCGGCTTGCTGTTTCTTAAAGTAGGCCTCGAAATTCTCCACTCTGATTAACTTGGATCTGGGGAAACAGAGTGACTTAGGAGGCTTTGTTCTTACACTCCATGGAGGAGAAAATCAATCGAAAAAGAAAAAGAAGGAGGTGACTTACTTTTTAGGTCTTCATCGCAGAAGGGGAAAGAAAAAAAAAAAAAAAAACAAGCAATTAGAGATTCATTCATTTGGGAAGCAGACACATTCCTCCAAGAACCAACGCAGAATATAACTGGGGGGTGGAGAGGGGCTAGAAGGGTAGGGATTAGAGTAACGCCATTCATAAGACACTGAAACGTGAGTCCTGACATCCAACTCTTGTACAACTGATGGGCCTTGTGCTTCAGGTAAGCTCTCCTCTCCCCATAGATCTTCAAAACCCATTAAAACAAAAAAGTCACGAAATACACACTTCCTAACAGAGTAATAGTAGGCTATGGCAAAGGAGCCAGAGGGGAATAACAAAACACAGATTCCTTACAGAACACGGAGCTACCAAGAACTTCCAGCTGACCAAGGCCAAATGTGTCACTCAGGAAAAATGACATCAGATTCCATCAAAAATTTTCTAGATAATCACTGAACGGATTAGGGAGCGAAATGCCTCAAAATAAGGCTCATATCTCTAGAGACTTACTTAATTTGTGAAAAGGACACTTCATTGTTCTTGGCATCTTTCCTGTTTTGAAAGAAGAGAGACCCATTAGTCCAGATGAAAAAAAATTAAAAAAATAAAAAAAAAAAAGGTTTAATCTTTGCTTCCTGCTGTGAGGCCTTTTCCCTGGAAGCAAATTCATACGCAACACTAAATCCTGCTCACCAATGCCAAGCAAAGTGGTTCAAGCAGCAAACCCTGCCTACAAACTGCTCACATCATTGTCTTTTTTTTTTTTTTTAATTCACTTATTTGAAAGACAGAGTTACAGAGAGAGGTAGAGACAGAGAGAGAAAGGTCTTCCATCCGCTGGTTCACTCCCCAGATGGCCGCAACAGTCGGAGCTGCACCTATCCAAAGCCAGGAGCCAGGAGCTTCCTCCGGGACTCCCACGTGGGCACAGGAGCCCAAGGACTTGGGCCATCTTCCATTGCCCTCCCCAGCCATAGCAGAGAGTCAGACCAGAAGAGGAACAGCTGGGACCAGAACTAGCACCCACATGGGATGCCGGCACTTCAGGCCAGGCTTTAATATGCTGCGCCACAGCGCCGGCCCCCACATCATTGTCTTTTATACCATCTAAAAGAAAAATCTGACCTGGGCATTGGGGCTGGCATAAAACCGCCACCTGCAACATAAGTATCCCATATCAGAGCACTGGTTCAAGTCCCAGCTGCTCCACTTCGGATCCAGCTCCCTGCTAACGAGCCTGGGAAGGCGGCAGAAGATGGTCCAAGTACCTGGGCCTCTGCCACCCATGTGGGAGAGTTACTGACTCCTGGCTTTGGCCTGGCTGTTGTAACCATTCGGGGAGTGAACCAGCTGATGAAAGAGATACCTGTCTGTCTGTCTGTCTCTCTCTCTCTCTCTCTCTCTCCCTCTCCCCCGACCCTGCCATGTCACTCTGCCTTTCAAATAAATAAATAAACCTTTCAAAACAAAGAGAAAGAAAAATCTACATCAGTGACGTTACTCTGTTGCTGAGAAAGCTTGTCGGCCAGGCAGATGCAATGAACGAACTGGTGGGGCCCTTGCACACTCCCTCATCGTTGAATGAACTTCACAGTGGGGTTTAAAAAAATAAAAAACTTCCAGGTGGCGATTTGGCAGCGCGTCTCCCCACTGCCCCAGCAGGTGTCTGGTGGAGCACGTGGCTCACAGGGCGGCTGTGCGGATGACGTAACAGCAGCAGCGGGGGAGCTGCAAGACGCCGCGTGAGTGCTCCATTTATCCAAGGATCCTCGACATCATGAGTTACTCTCCACTGGTGTCCCCGAATCGTCGATGAGAACGATGATAAGCTAAGCTTCTTAAAGCTGGTCAGCTCAGAGATGGGGCTCTATCTCAGCTACTTCCAAACTGAGATCTCTCTAACGCTCTGATAGAAAGCCGACTGGTGAACCCAGCGCAACGTTCTAAAGGCACCCTCCGCTGCAGTGCCTACCAAAGCCTAGAGGCCATGGCGAGGGTCGGTGTTAAAATCGCCCAGCTGGGAACAGAGATGAGGTGCAATTGGCCCGAAGTGAACACTGGAGACACGGGAGTTCCTTACACTGTGCCCTCCGATATTGGGGGCTTTGAAATTTTCCAAAATAAAAAGCTTTCTTTAGGGGCCGGCGCTATGGCGCAGCAGGCTAACACCCTGGCCTGAAACACCGGCATCCCATATGGGCGCCGGTTCTAGTCCCAGCTGCTCCACTTCCTATCCAGCTCTCTGCTATGGCCTGGGAAAGCAATAGAGGATGGTCCAAATGCTTGGGCCCCTACACCCACATGGAAGACCTGGAAGAAGCTCCTTGCTCCTGGCTTTGGATCGGCCCAGCTCCAGCTATTGCAGCCATTTGGGGAATGAACCAGCAGATGGAAGACCTTTCTTTCTGTCTCTTCTTCTCTCTGTCTGTAACTCTGCCTCTCAAATAAATAAATAAAATTTAAAAAAAAAAAAAAGTGAGGATTGGGGCTGGCATTGAGGTGCAGTGGATTAAGCTGCTGCTTTAGATGCCAGAACCCCAAGAGATTGGAGCAGTGGTTTGAGTCTTAATCACTCCGCTTCCGTTCCATCTTCCTGCTATAAGCACCTGGGAAAGCAGCTGACGATGGCTCAAGTGCTTGGGGCCTCGCCTCTGATGTGGGAGACCTGGCTAGAGACCTGACTTTGGCCTGGCCCAGCCCCAACCATTGTGGCCATTTGGGGAGTGAACCAACAGAAGGAAGATCTCTCTCTTTCTCTCTCTCTCTCTCTCTCTCTTTTTTACTTCTATCTCTGTCACTGTCTTTCAGAGAAAAATAATAAGTAACTCTTTTGTAAAACATAGAGGACGATCATCAACAGTAACATAAGCAGTATCACCTTTTCTTTCTCCAAAAGATGAAGCCTCCCACGGCCACAATAACCAGGGCTCCAAAGATACACCCGAAGACGGCTCCGCAGATGACACCTAGGAAAAGTCCAAGCGGAAGCCCTTGAGCTGGTGTCCACTGAGGACAGTGCCATACCCACAATCGGCCCCAGGCCCTCACTAGAGCGGGCACAGGTGTGCACACACACACGCACATGCATACACACACACACACACATACACACACGGGGTTAAGTCCAGGCATTGCAGAACTGGGCTCTCTGCCCCCAGGCCATCACCAACAATGGGGTGAAGAACATCACTATTCCTCTCCACCTCTCAGTTGGCTCCATCACTAATGTAGGGAACTGGGCTGGAGCGGTGACTTTCCTACACCCACGGATAAGCAGAGGTCCTCACAGCACCGTGCTCAGGCGTCGTGAAACCCATCTGTTTCCTGGGGATGACCTTGGCTGCTGGGGCAGGAATTCTTTCCTGCACCCAACAACCACTAGACAAACCACCAAGCCAGCTGGCCAGCTTGTCTCTGGTCTAGAGGCAGGGGAGGCTGCCTCCTTTGGGTTCCCGAAGCTCTGTGATAAACACCGGGAGCACCGGAGAAGGAGCCAGGGACCAGAATTTCAGGCCTGCCCCTACACCTCTGTGTAACTCTGGGGAAGTCCCTTCCCATCTCTGGGCCCTAACACCTTATTTCTAAAAGGTGGGCTGTACGAGACAAGCTCTGGGGCTCTTTCTCAAGGATTCTAAGCACTCAAAGTCACACCGGCCACCACTGACCACAACGAGACAAAGGAACGAATCTCTGCAGACTGGGACTCAGGGAGGGGACAGCTGGGGTCCAGGGCTGTCGGGGTCCTCGGAGGAGGAAGCGGAGCTGAGCAACTTCTGAGAGAGAGAAGGGAGGGCGGGGCACTGCTCGGGGGTCCCGGGGAGCCACCCAGTTACCCAGCCTTCTGTGGACACTTGAGGCCAAAGCCCAAAGGCTATTGTTTCTTCCCTACCTGGATCCTGGGGCAAGAACACGGCATCCGAGTAGCGGCTGAAGGACACGTAGCTCTCAGCCCCGTCAATGAGTCCGTACTTTTGAGAGTTGAAGGTGATATTGGTGAAGCCGGCCACACAAGCCCTGCAGGACAAGAGACGGCACGGAGAGGCTACTGGGACGTGTCCGCAGCCAGGGGCACACGGCGCCCTGCACTCATGGGGCACAGTCCCCTTCCTCCCCTCCCCCAGCGGCTGCCCGATCCAGACGGCACTACCTGTAGGAGCCCAGGGGTTGCAGCTTCCCATTGTAATAGCCCAGGGTGGTGGATTCATTCCCAACGTCAATTTCGTATTTCAAGACTTCGGACAAGCCCTGAGAACGTCCCCTTTCTTCCGTCCTTATGAGGTAGGTCACGTACGTATCCGAGGCCCCCTTACTGAAGTCTTCGTACGTGTATTTCAGCACGTCTGCAGAAGGCGGGCCAGCTAAGAACAGCACACAGAAGAGATATCGTAAGAAAGAGATTCCACCTCCGACGCCTCTAAACCAGAATGTTGTTGCCGGGCAACGACGCCACCAGCCACCAGCTCTCAGGGACCTCGGGGCCAGGCTCTGCTCAGGCCGAATTCTTTTTTTTTTTTTGACAGGCAGAGTGGACAGTGAGAGAGAGAGACAGAGAGAAAGGTCTTCCTTTGCCGTTGGTTCACCCTCCAATGGCCGCCGCGCTGCGGCCGGCGCACCGCGCTGATCCGATGGCAGGAGCCAGGAGCCAGGTGCTTCTCCTGGTCTCCCATGGGGTGCAGGGCCCAAGCACTTGGGCCATCCTCCACTGCACTCCCGGGCCACAGCAGAGAGCTGGCCTGGAAGAGGGGCAACCGGGACAGAATCCGGCGCCCCGACCGGGACTAGAACCCGGTGTGCCGGCACCGCTAGGCGGAGGATTAGCCTAGTGAGCCGCGGCGCCGGCCCAGGCCGAATTCTAAATGCTCCACTTCCGCTGACTCATGCCAGCTGACTCATCACTTCAGCCAACCGTCCCCATGTTGCAGACAAGAGCAGGAAGGCACAGGAAGATAAACAGGACCTGGCCCAAGGTCACGAGGCCCACATGGTGGACTGGATCTCTAACCCAGACCGCCTGGGCAGGCCGCCATGCAACGCTGCCTCCCTCCTCATTCAGCAAAGGTCTGGACCTGGAATTTGTTGAAAACCATCCCAGCAAAATGACCAAGAGCTTGAACAGATCCAAAAGAAAAACATACACAGAGGGCCGGGCTTTGGCCTGGTGTGCAAGACAGCGGTTAGGACACTCCTGTCCCACACTGCAGTGCCGGGTTCAACACCCAGCTCGCGGCAGGTTCCAGCTTCCTCCCAATGCAGACTCTGGGAGGCAGCGCGGTGGCCCAAGTGACTGGGTTCCTGCGTGCATGAGGCCCTAGCCAGAGCTGTTGTGGGCATTCGGGGAGTGTACCAGCAGACATAAGAAAGATATGCATTCTCTCTCTTTCCCTCTCTTGATCTCTCTCTCTCAAATGAAGAAATAAATATTACAAAAGAAGAAGAGAGGGAGAGGAAGACCCCAATGTCACTCTGCACCCTCAGCAGCCCGATGACAACCCCTACCCTGCAGGGTCCCCAGCAGTCCCGGGAACACCTGTGGTCTCTTCCTTCATCTTCCTCAAGGAGCTGAGGATGGCACCACAGGGGGGCACATGGGCAGAGGTGGCCCCGTGATGCCCATGTGTAGTTTGAGGAACCACTGAAAACCACACAACCCGCTCTTTTCCTTCCAGGCCTGTGCACGGCACTGACAACGCAGCTCTCAGAGCGCCTTCAACTCATCCTGGATCCAACAGCACTGGATGGAAAAGCAGCCTGGAGCCCGCCTGCTCCACTCTCAGGCTCAAGGGACGCTCTGTGCAAGCTCCTGCCAGCAAATGCAAACCGTGTTCTGTTTTAAGAGAAAACCATTTGGGGCCGGCCTGTAGTATAGTAGGTTAAGCCTCCCGCTTTGGTGCTGCATCCCATATGGGTTTGAGTCCCAACTGCTCCACTTCTGATCCAGCTCTCTGCTAAGGCCTGGGAAAGCAGTGGAAGATGGCCCAAATCCTTGGGCCCCTGCACCCACATGGGAGACCCAGAAGAAGCTCCTGGCTCCTGGCTTCAGATCGGCCCAGCTCCGGCCATTGCAGCCATCTGGGGAGTGAACCAGAGGATGGAAGACCTCTCTCCCTCTCTCTCTCTCTCTCTCTCTCTGTAACTCTACCTCTAAATAAAAAATAAATCTTAAAAAGAAAAAGAGAGAAAGAAACCATCCTCTAAGGATGACATGTGTGTGTCTGAGTGGGAGAGCGAGGGATAAGACAGACAGGGACACCACGTCGATTAGCACTGATATTCTGCCACCTGAGAGACCCTGAGTCGTAACAGAGACAGCAAACCTAGGTGTGAGGTAGGAGAGTCTTAGCCACAGGCAGGACCCAGCCACCACCTGCTTGCTAAGCAACAGTTCGCGGGAGCGGCCACACTCACTCTTGGAGTATCTTCTGTGACCGCTCCCAGGCAGCAACAGCAGAGCTGAGTCCCTGCGGCACGGCCTGCTGGGCCTGCAAAGCTTCAGATGTCTGCTAGTTGCGTGTGGAGCCCTGATCCAGATCATCAGAGCGGCGCACGGCTCCCCTCCCGGCCTGAGCACCGGCACGTGGGTGGCTGAGTACAGAGAGCCGTGTCCTTAATCCTTAACGGCCCCAGCGCTCAGCGGGCACAGGCCTGATCCCCCAGCTGTGTCCCCACAGGGCCCCTCCTTACCGTCCCCCGTGGTGAGAATGACGGCGTAGGCCTTGATGGGTCCGTGGCTGGCTTCAAACCCACTGAACTTGACCTTCACCGAATTGTGACTGACGGATGTAATATTGGGAGAGCCGTCCGGAGGAGGGGGATCTGAAATAAAACACAACAAAACACGATCACCCAACATTTAAAACCAAAGAAGGAGCATAATCATCAGAGAATCATCACAATGGAGATGCACGTCAGGCCCTCCTGGAGCTCTGCCCCCACCCTGGAAGCTGCACGCTGGGCTGTTGCAGAGCAAAGGCAGAGGCCGGGGCAGACAAGGGGAGGAGGCGAGTGGAGACGGGTGCATGGCTCACACTGATCCCTGCAGTGCAAACAGCCACATCCCAAGGGCAGGCTCCCAGCAGCCTCGCTGGGCTCTGCTGTTGCTGTTTGGAACAAGACGTGCCTTTGACTTCCATTACTTTTTAACCACACTTACTGAAGCATTGTTAGAACAGCATCACGCTATGGTTTGAGGATGATTTGTTCCCTCCTAAACTCGTGCTCGCGTTTAATCCCTGTTGTAAGGTACTGGGGTGGGGGACTTCACTGTAATATTTGGAGGAGGACTTTTGGGAGGGAAGCTGAATTAGATGAGGCCATTGGGGTGCAGCCCCCATGAGTGAGTCCTGGTGCTTTTATAAAGGGGGGAAGGGACCAGAGTCGTATCTGTGCCTCTCCATGTGATACCCTGTACCACCTCAGGGCTTGGCCACTGCCAGATGTGGCCCCTCAACCTTGGCCCTCCAGAACCATAAGCCAAAACAAACCTCTATTCCTGAAGATTTATCCAGTCTGTGGTTTTGTGTTATCAGCAACAGAAAACAGACTGAGAGGTGGAAAACTTGTACACTGAAAGCTATAAAACACGGATGAAAGAAATTAAAGAAGACACAAACAAATGGAAAGACATTCCATGTTCATGGATTGGAAGATTCAGCCTTTTTAAAATGTCCATACTGTTCAAAGTGATCTACAAAGTCAACACTATCCCCTCAAAACCCCAAGAGCATTTCCGACAGAGCCTGAAGAAACAATCCTCAAATTCAAATGGAACCATAAAAGACCTAGAATGGCCACTAAGTGACCTAGAGAAAGAATAAAGCAAACTGTTGAAATCTTTACTTAATATATACTAAATTGATCTTCTGTATAGAAAGATAATTGAAAATGAACCTTGATGCGAATGGAATGGGAGAGGGAGCGGGAGATGGGAGGGTTGTGAGTGGGAGGGAAATTATGGGGAGGAAAAAGCCATTGTAATCCATAAGCTGTACTTTGGAAATTTATATTTATTAAATAAAAGTTTAAAAAAAGAAAGAATAAAGCAAGAAGACTCACACTTTCTGATTTCAAATTATATTATAAAGCTACAGTAATTAAAACAACATGGTACAGAAATACACCCAGACCCATGAGAGAGAACAGAGAACTCAGAATTAAACCCATGCATATAAGGCCATGGAGAAAGGACAGTCTCTCAACAAATGGTGCTGGAAAAAACTGCATCCATATGCCAAAGAATGAAACTGGACCTCTGTCTTAAACCATTCAAACATAGATTCTAAATGGATTCGAGACAGAAGCATAAGACCTGAAACTATAAAATTCCTAAGAGAAAACATAGAAGTGCTTCTTGATCCTGATCTTGACAATGTGTTCTTGCATTTGACACTGAAAGCCCAGCACCAAGAGCAAGAGTGTACAAGAGGATGGTACCAAACTAAAACACCTCTGCATGGCAGAGAAAATAAGCAATAGAATGAAAAGCCAGCAGTGTGGCCGGCACTGCGACATAGCAGGTAATGCCACTGCCTGCACTGCCAGCGTCCCCTATGGCCACTGGTTCCTGTTCTGGCTGCTCCACTTCACATCCAGCTCCCTGCTAATGGCCTAGGAAAAGCAATGGAAGTGCTTGGGACCCTGCCACCTACGTGGGAGACCTGGATGAAGCTCCCGGCTCCTGGTTTTGGCCTGGGGCTACTGTGGCCACCTGGGAAATGAACTAGTGGATGGATGATCTCTCCCTCTCTCCTCTCTTTCTAACTCTGACTTTCAAATAAATAAATAAATCTTTAAATTAAAAAAAAAAAAAAAGCCAGCATCCTGTTTGCTGAAGATAAGCTGCCTTTCCCATCTCCTCTCGGTCCTTCCCACTTACGAAGGGCCAGGGCGCCGAGGCCGAGAACTGGGGCGGAGCAGCAGACGGAGAGGGAGGCTGCAGTGGGGGATCTACACGCAGAGCTCTGCCCGCCACACGGAGCGGCGCAAGGATCTGTTGGGCGGCTGAGAACAAAGATGCAACAGATGCCCAAGGGGGTGGAATCAAAGACAAGACCGGGAGAGAATGCGCTTTCTCCACCACTGCAGGTGCCGGCGCTGAAGCAGAGAAACTGACCAACACTCTCCCCGGACACGGGGGAAGCCCACACCTAAGCGTCTCTCATTTGTCCTGGCAGGTGGGTGTCATTTCCTGTTTTGGCAGCTAAGGAAAACAGGGCTCAGAGAAGGTGGAGTAGCTTTCCTGAGATCACACAGCTGGTGAACCCTGGACTCAAACCCAGGTCAGCCGTCTAAGTCAAGGCTCTGTACACTGAACCCCTCGGCTGCTTTCCAAGTCAGGTCCCTGACGGGGCCTTTTTTTCCTACTCTAACAACCACTGATTCTTTAGAAACTGTCAGAAACACTCGGATATCCTAAAGAAAACACACAGAGTCAGAAGGCACCAAGGCAGACAGATCGCCACCAGGCTGGTCTAAGACGTTAACTCTGGCAGAAACATGGAAGTGAAGGGCAGATCAAATAAAGCGAAGAACCAGGAGACTTTTCCTAAGCACAAGAAAGGCAGGCTGTGAAAAGATGAACCAGGAGGATGCCCCGTGTGGCGAGCGACTCCCGGTCTCCCCAGACAGCTCAGGGGCTTGCAACCACGGCAGCCAGGGAAGCATGAGTCTCGACTGAGTATCTGATCACAGCAAAGACCTGTGGAAGCTACCAGGGGGATCGTGGTATCAATGTAACCAAGACTGAAAGAAAGAGAAAAAGGAGCCCTCCACAGAAGGCACTGGCCAACCTGTCAAGATGCCGCATCCCGTTCCAGAGGCCCTGAGTTCAACACCTGCCCCGGCTCCGGACTCCAGCTTCCTGCCCGTGCAGACCAGGGCAGGGAGAGGTCTGGTTTGAGCTCCCAGCTCCTGGCCTTCCCCTGGTGGATCTCTGTGGGCACTTGAGGAGTCAATCCACAGAGAGGGGCGCTCCCTCCCTTCCCTCTCTCTCTCTCTCTCTCTCTACTTCTCAAATAAATCTATCTTTTAAAAGAAGACTGTTGAAGCAATACATCCTGAAACATTCACAAATAAAGTTACACAATGATCGGGACTGGTCTCGGTACAGTAGGTAACACGGAGAAAGGAGGAGGGGTTATATAAAAAAACAAGACTGGCCGAGTGCTGACAGCACTCAACTGGGTGACAGTGGGCACGTGGGTCTCCTGAACTATCATCTACTCTCGTGTAGACTTGAACATTTCTATCAGAAAATGACTTTTTAGGGGCCGGCACTGTGGCAGAGTGGGTAAAGCCGCAGCCTGCAGTGCCAGCATTCCATATGGACACTGGTTCAAGTCTTGGCTGCTCCACTTCCGATCCAGCTCTCTGCTATGGCCTAGAAAAGCAGCGGAAGATGGCCCAATGCTTGGGTCCCTGCACCAGCATGGGAGACCTGGAAGAAGCTCCTGGCTCCTGGCTTCGGATTGGCCCAGCTCCAGCCACTGTAGCCATTTAGGGAGTTAACCAGCAGATGGGAAACCTCTCTCTCTCTCGCTCTCTGCCTCTGCCTCTCTGTAACTCTTTCAAGTAAAATAAATAAATCTTTAAGAAGAGGGAAAAAGAACTAAGTATTCCTTCCTACTCAGTGGTTAAAAAAATGACTTTTTAATGCAGTAAGGAAACTCTCTACTTAGATAAAAATGCGGTATTGGTTATTGTCAAAAGCAAAGGAACCTATCAGAATTTCAGTAAAAAAACCAAAGCAGACTGCTGGGCCCCATTTGCAGACCCGCTGGGTGGGCAGCCTCCTGCCAAGCAGCTCACCCGTGATGCCAGTGGTGCAGGTGTTGTGGGTGGGGGGTGCCATCTTTCCACAGGACAAGGTGGCGACACTGATGTTGTACGAGGTAGAAAAATTCAAAGACATGACTTCCTTCCTGTACTCGGTGCCATTCTCGGGGGAGCAACCGTCCAGGTGCATCACGCTGTCCCAGGCTCCACTGCTGAGCCCCAGCTCAAAGCCCGCATTGGCGCCAGAGGGGCAGGCCCACTGCAGAACCAGGGCCGGCTCCTTGGGGACCACGTCACAGTGGATGGTAGCCACCGGCGCAGGATCTGCAAAGCAAGCACAGCACAGCACAGTGTGAGACCCCCACCCCACCCAGAATGTTTGCCTCCACAGACCCTCAGACATGGGGAACAGTAGGACTCTGGCCCATCCATGACGGGGAGACATGGTCACCAAACAGGAACCCCAGAGAGAATGGGGCTCCAGGAAAGGCACCATGCTGTGAGTGACTGCCAACTCCTCACCTGCATCACCTCATCTGGGGCCCTGCTGACGAGCCCCCAGGACTGACGAGGCTCATGCCAGCCCATTCTGCAGGTGTGTGGTGGAATGAGAAGGCCATGTCAAGATGGCCGCTGGCAAGTGAGCGTCAGTTACTCAGGAATGGCTTCGAAACCACCTGGCAACAGAGCCTGCCTGGCAACAGGCTATGATTAGACAGCTTTGGAAACCACATGGCAATGGAGCCTGCCTGGCAACAGGCTGTGACTGGATGACTTTGGATACTGCCTGGCAATAGGCTGTGATTAGTTAGGGCATAAACCACCCCTTGACCAGATTGGCTGCCTTGGCTATTTAAGCTGCTGTACCAACTGAAATAAACGAGTCTGCAGGCTGCTTGCCTCTGGCCCGCTTTCACCTGACTCCCGGGGTCTGTGTGGTGACTCCGCGCCTCTTGCCCCCACCATGCTCCACCTCTCAGAATGAATCCACAGCGGCCGGCGCCACAGCTCACTAGGCTAATCCTCCGCCGGCACACCGGGTTCTAGTCCCAGTCGGGGCGCCGGATTCTGTCCCGGTTGCCCCTCTTCCAGGCCAGCTCTCTGCTATGGCCCGGGAGGGCAGTGGGGCAGTGGAGGATGGCCCAAGTCCTTGGGCCCTGCACCCCATGGGAGACCAGGAGAAGCACCTGGCTCCTGCCTTTGGATCAGCACGGTGTGCCGGCCGCAGCGGCCATTGGAGGGTGAACCAACGGCAAAAGGAAGACCTTTCTCTCTGTCTGTCTCTCTCTCTCACTGTCCACTCTGCCTGTCCAAAAATAAATAAATAAATAAAAGAATGAATCCACAGCAACACAGGTGAACCCATCGAGGCTCAGAGAGCTTAAGTAATATGCTGCAGGTGACAGGGCTGGGGAGTGGCAAAGTCCAAATCCAAGTCCAGGGCACGCACGCCCAGCACGCTGGTTAATTAACGAATGGTAAACGTATCAGGTTCTTATCTTTCTGGGGTACCAGGAAGCAGGCATTTAGCCTCCTGGTTAAGACACCCACATCCCGCATCCGAGCACCTTGGCTCAGTTCCCAGCTCCAGGTCCTGACTCCAGCTTCCTGTGACTGCACACCCTGGGGGGCAGCAAGCCATGGCTCAACCGGATGGGGCTCTGTCACCCAGGTGGGAGCCCTGGATCAGCCCCAGGCTCCAGGCTTCAGCCTGGCACAGCCCTGGCCACTGCAAGCACCGGGGGAGTAAACCAGTGGATAGGAGTGCTTTCTGTCTCTCTCTCTCTCTCTCTCTCTTTATGCCTCTCAGATAAAATTTAAAATTAAAAAGAAAAAGAAGTTCCAGGAAGGCAAGGACTCGTCTGTCTCACATACAATAAATGGCCCCTAAATATCTGTTGAATGAAGAAATGATAAAAGCATCAAGACAGCACTAATAAGCTCACAGGATGCTTCCGAGAGCTCAGCGTCTATACTGCACAAGAAACTGAGCAGCTGCACCCTGAGGGGACCTCGCCACAGGGCAGCACCACCAAGGCAGTGTCCAGGAGGCACCGGGGCCACCCACCTGTACAGAACGACTCCAAGCCGGGTGTGGATGACTCGAGCAGATCCCCCACCCGGGTAAAGATCTCGACCGTGTAAGACGAGCCAGGGGTTAACTCGGTGACGGTGGCATTGGTGACTCCAACGGCCGTGACTATCTGGGTTGTGTCGCTGGCGTTCCCAACCTTCTCGATAATAAGGCGGTAGAAGTAGGCAGAGGCGGCGTTATCGGCGTTCCACCAATCTAAGGCCGCCGCCGTGGTGCTGGTGCTTATTTCAATGCGGGACACGTTGCTGGGCCCTTGGTTTAAGACAAAACCGAATGTTAAGTAACAGCATGAGTGACTTCAAATTCCAGGATTATCTTATTTACCATATCTAAAAACAGCCTGGTATCTTCTGCAAAGAATGAATACAGTTACTCTTTACTGGTCCAAATGATGGAAGCATTCCCAAAAAGATGCTCCAAAATAAATATAAGATTAGATCTTAAAAGAATGAAAATTTTCAGGCTTCTTGTAACATCTCAAGCTTATCTGAAACACGCTCTTAAGATAAAATTTCCAATGTGTTCTTTCAATCTGACCAATGAAAGAAAAACACCCAGCTATTAAACACATATTCTAAGTTAACATCTTGACCGTGTGTTTAGTTTAAATGCTGAACCCCCTCACTATGGCAGACAAAGCTGCTCCCCCACGCAGGATCTCCCGATGCCAACACAACAAGGCGACTCCCTTCTAGCGTGCATTCCCAGGAAAGGGAAGTCATGCTCTCCATTCCCATGGAATCACTTTCTGCTTCTAAAGACAACTTCAAGTTCACACGGCTGCCAACCAGCCTTCCACGAGGACAGCAGCACCTCTGCTAAGACTGAGGCTTCCAACTAAGGCAGAGAGACTTACGTGTGTACTGGGAGATGGAGCTGGAGGCCCCCTGCACATGGCCCACTTCGGGAGAGACGGTGATGTTGTACAAGGTGCCAGGGAGCAGCCCACCGAGAGTGATGGCTTTGCGAGGACTGCTGGTTTCGTTAGAGCCGTACTCAGACTGTATGACCAAGTGGTAGACGTAATCAGAGGCGTTGTCTGTGTTCTGCCATTCCAACTGCATCTCAGTGGTGCTGACGGCCACCACACGGATGTCAGTGACAGCACTGTGCACTGGTCAGGGGACAGGAAGCAGAGAGGGGCCCTGTTAATGACCACCGTGATGTTCAGCTGCACCTCTAAGGATCTGTCCAGAGACCTTGCTCTTTTGCCATCTAGCTCTCAAATGAGTTCAGCAAGGACAGGCTCTCAACATGAGAGCAGAGAGAAATACACACACGCAGCTCTTTCTAGAACTCTGGTTCTTCCTCCGCACAGCCACATGGAGAGCTTTCTTACTAGTTCTCTGGGACTTCTGCTTCCCTCTCCGGGGTCTCTTGCAGTGTAACATCTTCAGTTTCAGTGCTAGAAACTGGGTGGGTTCAGTGTGTGAAAATTCAGCAAACTACACTCTGAGGACAGGCACACTCTGCAGAGAGTTTGATGTATTTCTTAGCCACTCACTAAAAAAATAACACCCTCCTGTGACACAGCCTGGCAAACGGGAGAGGAAAAGTGAAATGCAGAGGTGACCCTGATGCAGCAGAAGCATCTGAGGTCGGACAGCAAGGGCAGGAGACACACTGTCCAGCTCCCTGCTAATGTGCCTGGGAAAGCAGCGGAGGATGGCCCTCCCTGTACGCATGTGGAAGGCCCAGATTAATCTCCTTCAGCCCAGGCCAGCCCTAGCTGTTGCAGTCAACTGGAGAGTGAACCAGCAGATGGAAGATCTTTATCTCTTTCAATCTCCCTTCTCTTTATATAATTCTTTCAAGTAAATAAATAAATTTTTTAAAAAATGACAATAAAATAAAATGCACAAAAGAGTCACCATTTTGCCCACTGGTCGGTGTATGATTTAGTGCCATTCTATACATTCAGAGTACTGTATAAACAAGACCACCTTCTATACCCAAAACATTCTCATCACCACCAACACAAACCCTGTGCCATCAAACAGTAACTCTGCCTTGCTTCCTCCCCAGCCTACTTTTTGTCTCCGTGAACCTGACTATTCTGGGTAACTCACATCAGTGGAATCAGACAATATTTGTCCTTCTCTGTCTGGCTTTCATTTTAGCACACGTGAGGATTTCGTCCCTTTGTCTGGCTGAATAATATTCTATTGTATGGATAAACCACATTTTCTCTATCTGGTAATCTGTCAATGGACCCTTGGCTGTTCTACCTTTTGGCTTCTGTGAATAATGCTGCACCCAACACTGGTTCAAGTCCTGCTTTTACTTCTTTTGAATACACACCGAGAAGTGCAACTGCTGGATCGTGTGGTATTTGTTTTCGCTTTTTCGAAGCTGACTTTAATGCTCTCAACCTGATTTTTTCCCAATCATGATGACAGCGATTCAGTACGAGACAGCTAACCCTATGAGCCCAGGGCCTTAGGCCAGTCCTTCTTGCCTTGTACTCACTGGAATCCAGCTGCAGCACAAGAGCTGCCTCCTCTCAGGGACACGGAGCTCCTCTGCAGCTGCGCCAAGCCACGTGTCAGCCCCCCAGCTTGTCAGACCCTTGGCTCAGAGGCCAGCTGGAGGCCAGGTCTCCACCAGTCATGCTGGGACAGCTGCTTAAGCAAGGAAGGCCCCACTTCCTACTCTATATAACGGAGGAGGTAATAGCGCCTACTCTGGTTTTGCATTGCAATAGGTATACATTTTAAGTGGTAAAACACCATGAGCCAAGTTATCAGTGACAAAGTCTAGTGACTAGTTCACCTGTGATATTTTTCTATTTGTCTGTATTTCACAGGATGAATAGGTACGACTGGCATAATAAAATCTTTAAAATCTTCCTTAGATAAAGAAAAACAGTATTTAGAAAACCAGACGTTTACAAATTATAAGACTTCCTTTAAGAAACACCCCTGTTGGATGACAAACCCAGCCCACTTGCTTACCAGTTGTACAGGAAACTGTCTGGGGTGCCCCTTCAGTCCCATTTGGTCCTTGGGGAAATATTTCAAAGCGGTAACTGGTCCCGGGGTATAAGTCGCCGACGGTGATGCTCTGGTTGGTGGTGGTTCCCTCCCAGGACCAGCCGGCTCCATCCTGCGTGGCACGCAGCCTGAAGGACTCTGAGTCATTGCTGCTCCATGCTAAGCTGACCTCCCTCGTGCTGACACTCGTCACTCGAAAGTCGGAAACCGGACCAGGGGCTGTGGGAAAACGGAATTGAGGAGACTCAGAATCGCTTCCCCCAGAAGACCGGGCTGCCAACGGTCACAGAACATTTACACGAGAGGAAATGCAGATGTAGGACATCTGATCTCTCTCCTCCTCCTCTTCACATCACCACCTGCAGCCTGAATCCTTCAAAACCCAGCTGTCAAAGCCCTTGGAGACAGCACCTGGCCTCACTAGTGTAGACACCTGCAGCTTAAGTTGTACAAAGTCCTCCACAGGAAATGGTCAGGGGTGGGGACGAGGCTCCACAGTCCAGGGCTCACCTTGGCTGCTCCCGGATGCCTGACTTTGAATGCGCTGTGAAGCCGCCCAGGGCCTCTCTTCAGGGAGGTGCAGCAGAAGCTGCCGTCGACCCACAAAATCCATTCCCCTTCTTTTCCTTCATCATATACGCGTACCTTTTTAGTTGTGTACCTGACTGTGGGGTACAAACACTGCATTTCCCAGCCCCCCTGCAGCTAGATGCTGTCTTGTGACTATGTCATGTGGCCATTCCAACAGGACCAGAAGCACCATGCGACTTCTAGGAAATAGCCTTACAGGATGGAGCTCTACTGTTAGCCCTGCCTCCTTCCCTTCGCTGGAACGTGTGACCAACACTGTGCACCAACACTGTGCTGGTGATCAGCTTCCAGGCCCCAGCAGCACAGCTCAGAACAGAGTTCTGGTTACACAGTATAGTAGCTTAATCTAGTTCTGCAGTCTGAGTCTTTGTCATTTCTGTGGGATGAGCCCAAAGCTTGCTCCCTCCCCAGCTGTTATAGTTTCAATTGTGACCTTCCAAATGCCTGTTTTGAAGTCCTAATCCCAGTACCTTGAACTGGGACCATATTTGGAGACAAGGGCTTTCAAAAGGTAATTAGTTTAAAATGAGATCCTAAGGGTGCGCCCCAGTCCAGCCTGACTGTGTCCTTATGAGAAGGGATGAGGACACAGACAGCACACGGGCTGAGGACGACCACACGAAGACACACCAAGGGAGAGGCCAGAGAAGAAAGCAAACCTGCTGCTACCTTGATGTGTGACTCCCAGCCTCCAGAACTATGGCAGAGGACATTTCTATTGTGTAAGCCACTGCTTGTGTTAAGGTGGCCGGGCAGACATTAGCCTCTGTGTACACGGGGCCAAAGAATAGCAGGAATTTCTGTGCAATGGAATAAAGAAGATCTAGCAGCAAGCCAGCAATTTCACTTCTAAAGTATTGCCCGCATTCAATAAGCTTGAGTGAGTCCTTTCTGTGGTTGTAGTACCAAACCAGCATTGACATACCAGTAACCTGGGTGGGTAGGTCCAAGCCCCCTCCCTGGGAGCAGCTTAGCAGAATCTCATCTGCCCTTCACCAAGGGGCTAAGATGAGGTTCTGGAAAGAATTTTAGGAATCTCACACTCAGAAAGCCCTCTACCCAGAGACATCCCACACAAGGCCCAGACCCAAATCCATAAAGACTCTGAGCTGAATGCAGACTGGGCTCTTGGTTCCTTTCTGAGATGCCCGCCTGGTCTGTACTCTCTTCACTAAACCTGGCTAGCATGCTTACCACTACTCTCTGTCTCACGTCTGAATTCCTTCTTGACCAAAGACAAGAACCTCCAAGCAGCCATCTCTGGCAAGATATCTGGCGAGCCAGCCAGGAGGGAGTGAGAGCAGGGGTAAATCCTGGAAACTCTCACCCCGAGGAACACTCCATGTCCAGCCTTCTGTCCTTTTTCCTGCCTTGTCTAGTGGCAACCAAAGTCTCTTGGCAAATATTTCATGGAGACAGGGGCTTGCCTACTCTCTTTTAACCTAACCAATTTGGCCTTATCTCTGATAACAGTCTGTAGTACTGGCCATGGCAGTGCTAGAAAATTAATATACCAGCCCTCTCAATGAGCCTGCAAACCCTCGATTCCCTGGATAAATGCCTCTTGCCTTCCAACAGCTCATGGTTTCCACTTCTTGCATCTAAATCCAGGCTACCGCTCTACCATCCCCACTCTGGCCAAACTCTTTTCCATGAAAAAGAAACTCCTGTCTTACTGGGAGCAGAGTGTGCTATTCACAGCTGAAACTAATCCTAACACATAGATTTTTCAAAATTAAAAAAGGAAAATGAAAAAAGGAGATTTTATTCTCCCCAAAGTCGCAACCCAACAGAGTTTGTAGGAATGCTTAAGGTGTGTTTGCTGGGAGGCAACAGACTCCTGAGTACAGCATTCCTGTGGCACCAGAAGCAGCTCTAGGTTCAAATCCCTGCTTTACCACTTGCAAGCTCTGTGGCCCAAGACAGAGTGTCCACCCTCAGCTGGGCTGCAGTTTTCTCATCTACAGAAGGGAGATCCTAATACCAACCATGAAAGTCATGCAATATAGGTAAGCTCCTGGCACCATGCAAATGCATTGCTGGTTTTGATATCATTACACAGACACTACTAATACAACATCACTGCTTTAGTTTACATTATCAGGTCTTCTTCGGAACAAGAAACCTTTTATCTGCTGCATATCATGCTGTCTTTAAAGAACTTTTAAGCAAACAGAAGACTAGACATGGCTGTACCAGTGTTCCCTTATAATGTTAGCATCCAAGAGATAAGAGGTTCTTTTTCGTCTCCCTTTATCAATCCACTCTAGGTCTCTATCACAATACAAAGGTCATTATTATAAACACAGGCTGGAGCTGAGAGGCTGAATCTCTCCTGTGTCACTTAGCAGGTGTGGCACCTGCATACTCCCTCTCACTCCGCCTTGGCCTCCCCCATCCATAAAATAAAGCTAATGCCAACCACATCACAAGACACTGAGACAGCGCGAGGGAAGCACAAGAAGTTCAGCACGCAGCTCAGGCCCCCCAGCGCTCACTGTTACTACACCCCACCTCCTGAAGGGGCTCAGAGCACCATGTGCCTTCCTTGAGGGCAGGATCAGGGCTTCTTTGTCCTGTATCTGGGCCTGAGACAAAGTAGCCAGCAAGCAAGGTCAGCTGGAGCAATGAGCAAACTCACGGGTGTAGACTTGGAGAAAGCCTGGTGTGCCCTCGGTGTCACCCAGGAAGGGTCGCACTGTGATGTTGTATAACGTGCTCGGGCTGAGTCCAGAGATGACGGCGTGAGTATCGTTGACGGTGAAGTTGAAGAAATAGGTCTCTCCAGCCACTTGTACCTCATAGGCGTAGGCAGAGTGTGACCCATTGTGGCTGATTTTCCAGGTCAGGGTCATGCTTGTGGCACTGATGTTTACAACTTCAATGTCAAAAACCTGGTCAGAATCTGTGAAGACATAGGAGAAGTTCAGAATAACCAGAAAGGCCAAGCCAGAGAGAGAGAGAGAGACAGAGAGTTAGAGGGATAGAGAGGAAGGAGCTGTAATCACTTCTAGGGATTGTCCCTCCTCCCCCCACCACACCATTTAACCACAAGTGAACGTGGTTGGTGCAGAAACCACCTGGCCAACAGCCCAGCACCGTCAGTCATTATTCTTTTATGTTCATGGTGGACTCCTAACCAAACAGTAACATGCACTCCGCCCGTGCCTTGCTCCAGGAGCTCGGGGGACCCAGAAAAACCCTTATGCACCTATCCATCCAAGTACGAACACTATTCCCTATAGGATCAGGTCAAGATCACAGACTGGGGCCAGTGCTGTAGCGCAGTGAGTTAATGCCCTGGCCTGAAGCGCCGGCATCCCATATGGGTGCCAGTTTGAGATCCAGCTGCTCCACTTCCAATCCAGCTCTCTGCTATGGCCTGGGAAAGCAGTACAAGATGGCCCAAGTCCTTGGGCCCCTGCATCCACGTGGGAGACCCGGAAGAAGCTCCTGGCTCCTGGCTTCGAAGCAGCTAAGCTCCAGCCGTTGCAGCCAACTGGGGAGTGACCCAGCAGATGGAAGACCTCTCTCTCTCTCTCTGCCCAACTCTGACTTTCAAATAAATAAATCCATCTAAAAAAAAAAAAAGAAGAAGAAGAAGAAGAAGAAGAAGACCACAGACTTCTGCAGGAGTCACGTCTGGGTTCCCCGGCTAGCTCTGTTTCACAGCCAGGTCTCCCTCAGGAAAACCACTTGAACTCAGTTTCATCATAAAACAGGGATAGCAATCCTAACCTCAAGAGGGAACACGACAGTGTGAGTTACTCGCCACTTGCTCGCCTCCCCCAACCCATCCTCTTCTCGCCCTGTACAAGTAACACAGCCTGGAGAGCAATGCTGCCCACCAGGTGCTCCAAAGCACACCCCTCCCCTTCTCTCTGCAAGGCAGAGAGAGAGAGAGACAGAGAGAGAGACAGAGAGAGAGAGAGAGAGAAACTCTCAAAGCACACTCAGAACATCTCTCTAGGAACTAAATCAACCCCTCCAGGAGCAGCCACGTGCAGAGCCATCAGGGAGTCCCCACAGCCCTCCTGGGCCTCCAGGGTCAGGGCTACTGGGCTACTTCCTGCTACCTGGGGGTTCTCACTGCCCCACGGCACCCACACTTCACCACCTGGCTACTCCTCCTAACACCCACCTACCCACTCCTCCTCCTTTGTAAACCTATTCCAAAGAAAAACACGCTCTTTTGGCTTAAGTAGTAAACCAGCTCCCCCAAAGGGCCTTACAGAGGGAGCCACAGCCTCTTCCTTTTCAGCCTCACCTCCCCCTGCCCGCTGTGCCCCCAGGTCCGTTCTCTGCACTTACACGTGGGTTGTTTTCTCAACTGATTCACCCTCTCCACTGTCTCCACTTATCTAAAGCCTACCCTGCCTCCACGTGAGTTCAACCCTTCCCACGGGTCACCCACACAGCACCCATGCCCCTTCTGAACAGTGGGAGCCAGTGCTTGTCACCCACATGGACGCCGGGGGGATTGCAGTGCCGTCTCCCAGCATAGCCATCCAGAAAGCACAGCCATGTCACCCTCTCCTTCCTGGGCCTCTGAACCCCCAAGGTGCACCACCAGATGCAGCGTGGACCCACCCTCCAGAGTTTCCCAAGTCCAGTCTGTTTTCTGTCCTTGCTCCTCCAGCCCTGGCCCTCAGTTCTGTGGGCCTATGACAGCCTTTCTATTTATTAAGACAACCCAAGTCAGTTCATGTCTTCTACAACAGAGCCTCTGTGTTTAGCTGTGACACTACAGTGTCTAGTCCTGAGCTCACGAGGCCTGACCATGCACTGTCACATGGATGTCTGTGTCAACTCCCCATCCATGCTGACAGCTCCCAGGCCAGCAGGAACCAACCATTCCTTTACTCCTTCATCAGCACCAAAGCCCTCCCAACATTGGTCAACTGGTAGAATGGGAGTGCTGATAAATTCGAGTTAGACAAGCAGCAATGTGCATGGTAAAGATCAGTATGAATCCCAACAGCAAGTCCAAAAATGGAAACTCCTTATCTCGGGGGAAAAAAAATCGATCGTGTTCTATTTATAAGAAAAATATGATACCAGTTTGTCTCATTGGCTGATATGCAGGGACAGACAGACAGACACGAGGCTGTGTCCAATGCCAGCACAAAGCAGCTGCTCAATATTTTTCACTGTTTTTTTTTAAATATTTAATATTCCTTTATTTAAAAGGCAGTGTGATGGAGACAGAGCAGGACAGAAAGACAGGGAAGTCTTCCCATCTACTGTTTCACTCCCCAAATGGCTGCAACAGCCAGGTCTGGGCCAGGCTAAAGCCAGGAGCCAGGAACTCCATCCAGATCTCTTACATGGGTAGCAGGGGCCCCGGTACTTGGGCCATCACCCATTCATTGCCTTCCCAGGCGCTTCAGCAGGAAGCTGGATCAGAAGTGGAGCAGCCGAGACTCGAGCTGTCGCTCTGATATGGGATGCCAGCATCACACGTGGTGGCTTAACCTGCTGCACCCCAACAAGGGTCCCCATTTCAGGGAAGTGCCAGGCCAGGGAGGGAAGAAGAAACTCAGTCGATCCGTTCTCTCCAAAATCTCTTCCGGAACACTGCCGCTGACAACGAAACCAGCTGCTGAGAAGCAGTGAGAAAGCTCTAACAACTCAGCAACCGAATCAGAGAGGACAGAACTCGGTGCTGGGAACCTCCGGCCACCGCCGGGGCAACAAAAGCCAACGTACTCGTCCTGAACGTGACGGCCTGCGGCTGTCCTTCTGTGCCATCTGCCGCTTGCGGGAAAACGGAGGCCCTGTACCGAGTACCGGGGTCTAATCCCGTAAGAAGCACTTGCACATCCCCCGGGGCCGTGGGGTCAAGGCGCTGTACGGAGGCCGTGGGGCGGCTGCGTGGCAGGGGCGAGCTCTCGGTCGGGGGCGTCTCTGTGCTGTTGGCATCTGCGTGAAGCACAGGAGGAAAGACGTTAACTGCGAGAGAAATGCACACCCCTGTTCTTTCAGCACCCCCACTCCACATTGGACGGTGCCCATGGCTGGCATTCCCACCTCCTCCAGAGAGACAGACAGACAGACAGACACACACACACACACACACACACACACAGCGGCCTGCAGAGGCCTGGCGCTCTCACTGTGCGCTGTTCTTCCAGGAGAACCATGCATTTCGTGCCAACTCCGCTGTTTCGTGTCATTCTCCACGCCTTGGGGCATGAACTCTCCCTCCCCAGTGCGATTCCCAGGAGCACCTGCCTGACTCAGACTTTGCTAATTAGAGTCCACCCAAAGAAGGTTCCCCAGGGCCAGACCAGGCTGGCGAGGGAATGACAGGGTATGAAACAGGGGGATGGCTGGTTGCTCCTCGAGCCACTGTGGCAAAGAGGCAGCTGGTGGGAGAAATGAGAACTGCTGTCCCTTTAACACCTCACAGCCTGGAGTGGAGGAAGACAGAGGAACCAGCAGGTCACTCTTTTAGTCCCAGCCACTTAAAAGTTTGGTTTCTGCCACCTGCCACCAGGAACCCTAACACCACCTTGTAGCTTTGCAATCTTATGTATAAAGTGGAAGTCCTTGCCCCACTCAACCTGGGGGCTTATCCTAGGGACCCAGTGAAAATTCCATACCACTTGCAAATGATGGCTCCAACATCCACACGAAAGACGTCTGTTGGCTCTTCTCAGTGGATGTGCTAAGTTCCTCCAGTGGCCCTACCTAGGTTAGCGCACCTGTCATATGTTAGACTGAAAATTTAAAAGCTTCCCAGGCCCTCTGCTTTCTCGGCCGCCCCACTGCCACTCTGAACCTCGGTGCGTTCACTCATAAAATCAGATCACTTTCCCTTCCTTCCTCAGACAGCTGTGGGATCAAACCGAAGCATGGAGGAAAAGCCCTCTAAAAACTGTAAAATCCTACACAGATATTAAAAAAAAAAAAAAAAAAAAAAAAAAAACAGTATTTTTTTCAACTCCTAAGTTATCAAAAGCCAAACCCCATAGGGTGACTCACCCCAGACACCTTCTGGAACCATGGGGTCTCCCTCTGTCTCATTTGACTCTAGAAAATGCCAAATGACTCTGTATTGAAACCCTGGCTTCAGGTCTGAAATATTGACCGCAGCATCCGGGGTCGGCAAATCATGGCTCCCATAGCTTTCCAGGAACATCCGGCAGAAGGCGGTGCCATTGTGACTGCTCCAGCGCAGAGTGGCCTCTGTCACACCCACGAAGACAATGTGCAGTCCAGAAACTGGTTCAGGCTCTGTAATAAAAACACACCACGGACATAAATGGAACATGGTATCTGCAGTCACTCCACTTTAAGAATAACTGGGGTCACTGCTGATTCAATGTAACTAAAATACTAAAAACACTTCCCTTACAACAGAGTTCAGTTCATTTCCATCATTTCATGGTAAAGGAAAACCAAACTATCATGCAGAAAAGAGGAGAAGGAATAAACCTTAAAACCAAAAATGCTTAGGATCTGTTCTACTCTTTAAGACTAACTCCAGCGGGCGCCGCGGCTCACTAGGCTAATCTTCCGCCTGCGGCACCGGCACACCAGGTTCTAGTCCCAGTCGGGGTGCCGGATTGTGTCCCGGTTGCCCCTCTTCCAGGCCAGCTCTCTGCTGTGGCCAGGGAGTGCAGTGGAGGATGGCCCAAGTGCTTGGGCCCTGCACCCCATGGGAGACCAGGAGAAGCACCTGGCTCCTGCCTTCGGATCAGCACGGTGCAGCAGTCGCAACGCACCAGCCGCAGCTGCCATTGGGGGGTGAACCAACGGTAAAGGAAGACCTTTCTCTCTGTCTCTCTCTCTCTGTCCACTCTGCCTGTCAAAAAAAAAAAAAAAAAAAAAAAAAAAAAAAAAAAAAAAAAAGAACATCTTGGGACCACAGTGGACTGGAGGAAGGCTGCCTGGTTTCCACCTGATGCACGATGCCCTGAGATCTCAGAAGAAATGAACTTCGCCACGCACCAGCATCTCCAGCTGCAGCCCTAGGTTCCTAGGCTGTGTACTAAGGACAGCTACATCCGTACACACTCAGTACTCAGTAGCTGACGAACTCTCTTCTGGCAGAGTCCTGTCCTCAAGGGGCCTTATGGTGGCCAAGCATGCTCACTGCTACTGCCTCCTCTTCGCCATGGTCAACAACTGTGTGTCACCCTGTCCCCAAAACCACTTCTACTGGCTATTACCAAAAAGACAAAAGATAACAAGCACTGACAAGGATGTGAAGGAAACGGAACCCTTGCACTCTGCTGGTAAGAATGTAAATTGGCACAGCCATTGTGGAAAACAGTACGGAGGTTCCTCAAAAAAAACTAAAACAGATCTAGCATATGGTCCAACAATTCCACTGCTGGAATATATCCAAGGGAAAAGAAATCGGGCTGTTGAAGAGACGTCTGCAGTCCCATGTGTACTGCAGCGCTATTCACAATAGCCAAAAATTACAAACAACCTCAATGTCCATCTACTGGTGAGTGGATAAGCACAACGTGGGGTGTGCATCTGCAATGGAACACCACTCAGCCACAGAAGAGGATGAACCTTGTCATCTGCAACATCGATGCAAACTGAGGTCAGTATGTTGAGTGAAGTAAGCCAAGAAGTAAGTTTGCACAATGCCACACATATGAAACATTTTTTTAAAAAGTTGGTCTCATAGAAGTTGAGACTGTAACGATGGTTTCCAGAGGCTGGGAAGAGTAGGAAAGGAGGAGATGATGGAGGAAAAACAACTAATAATGCTAAGTTCTTTTTTTTTTTTTTTTTTTTGACAGGCAGAGTTAGTGAGAAAGGTCCTCCTTCTGTTGGTTCACCCCCCAAATGGCTCCTACAGCCGGCGCGCTGCGCCAATCAGAAGCCAGGAGCCAGGTGCTTCCTCCTGGTCTCCCATGCAGGTGCAAGGCCCAAGCACTTGGGCCATCCTCCACTGCCTTCCCAGGCCACAGCAGAGAGCTGGACTGGAAGAGGAGCAACTGGGACAGAATCCGGTGACCCAACCGGGACTAGAACCCGGGGTACCTGTGCCGCAGGCAGAGGATTAGCCTAGTGAGCTGCAGCGCCGGCCTAATAATGCTAAGTTCTAACTAGGAGTAGATATTCTGGTGCTCCATTGCACCAGAGGGCGACTACAGGTAAAGAAAGAAGGATTTTAAATGTCTTCACCTTACACGAGTGTGAAATGTTGGAGGAGACAGATGTTTACCCTGACCCGAACATCATGCAAAGTACACACATATTAAAACACCACAAGACCCCACAGTACGTCTAATTTTTTTGTGTCAAGTAAAAATGAAGAAATAGTGTGTGTCCTCTTGCTCGTCAACCCTCCCTCGCAGTCTCTCTGTCCTCCCCTTGGTTCCCTCTCGCAGCTTCTCTGGGGCTGCTCCCTCTCAAACGGAGCCGAGGCACACGGGGCTGGTTCCAGGTGCCTGTTACACCCGTTCCCATGGCTCCTCTCTCTGAAGTTCTTATTTTCACTTACTGGGCTTCTGAGCAAGGTTTGTTTAAAGAAAGTGTCCGGGCTGAAAGGCACGTGAAAGCCAGTGGATTGCTGTTTGCTGTTTGGCATCCTGAAGAGGTGCTGTGTTCCACACTGCTCATCCAGACCCCGCGCACCGAGAGGCCAGGCTGCCACGGCAAGCCCACTCCCGGCCACACCCCATTCAGAACACCCACCGAGGACTTCTTTCTCAGATCTTTAGTGCTGCTCACCTTAAAAAGAGCTTCTTGCGTGATGTTTCGGTGGTATTGTGGTTGGTTAATTTTGGTGCTTTTCACCTTTATTTAACTTTGCAGCTCTAATGAGAGGCTTGGGGTAACAACCTCTAGGCTAAATGAAAATCTAAGCTGTCTAACCTTAATCAGAATCTAAATGTCATTGGGTCTTATTCCATTTGAAACTTACACTCGCTATCAAGAGTACCAAACAGCCCTGCCTGACGGAAACTCCTGCGAATAGAAACACAGGGTCAGCTTCCCAGGGAGTTCAAAGGCTAGTAATTACTGACACCATCGAAACACATTTCCAACGAGGCCTCTACTTCAGAGCCTTAGCAAAACAGTAGATATTAATGAACAGTAACGAAAGATTTTTCAAAACCAACCAGTTGCGAGTCGTTAAGACTTCAAAAGACACACAGGACCTTAATACTGAATGAACAGGACCACCACCTCAGCTCCTGGCTTGGGAACAACACAAAACCCTTCCTCTTCCTCGAGGTTGTGAAAAGCAATGTCTCTCCAATGGGTACCCCCCCACACAGACAAGGTGCCAGGACACAGAATGAGAAGGAAGGGAGCCAGTCACCTTACCTGTTGTGACATTTTTGAACCTGGGTTCTCCCCAAGTCCCATTGCCTACTCCTGGGGAGACGGAGAACGTATATGCAGTCGCTGGGCTTAGGCCTGTGACGTTGCAACTCGTCTGGTTTTTGTCCGTCATCACCCACTCGTTCTCCATCTTATTGCTTACTCTGTAGATGTACTCAGAAGCAGCAGTGTCATTGCTTTTCCAGGTGAGGACCACGCTGGTAGGGCTGATAGAAGCAACTTCAATGTCAAACACAGGACTGGGTTCTATTTAAATACGGTTTTCAAGGAAAAAAGAAGAAAAATGACATTTAAAAAAAAAGCAACGTAAGATCTGTTCTGCATGTCCGCTTTCCGGAAGTGAATTTCATGAAGTTATCAATTCTCTGTGCTCACCTCCTAGACTTCCCTGCACCAGCCCATCTTTAAGTACAGGGCTGGGAAATTGACAGAAGCTGGCCAGTGCTGGCTGAGCCTGGGACATGGGATTCAATCTCTGTAGAGGCTCATAAAAAGGGAGAACCAAGATGCCAAATCAGTCTCCCCCCCGCCCCAAATTCTCAGCAAACACTGCAGGCAAGGAGACATTGCAGTATGTCTAACATCAGGAGACAGCTCGACAGTTTTTCTGACATAAAAGTGACACGGGGCAGGACAGCAGAAAGACGAAAGGACTGGTCTTGGAATCCAGATCCACACTTAAAAGATCTGCTCAGGGGGCCAGCACTGTGGCGCAGCGGGTTAAAGCTCTGGCCTGAAGCACCAGCATCCCATATGGGCACCAGTTCAAGACCTGGCTGCTCCACTTCCCATCCAGCTCTCTGCTATGGCCTTGGAAAGCAGAAGATGGCCCAAGTGCTTGGGCCTCTGCACCTGCGTGGGAGACCCAGATCGGATCGGCGCAGCTCTGGCCATTGTGGCCAACTGGGAGTGAACCATCGGATGGAAGACCTCTCTCTCTCTCTGCCTCTCCTCTCTCTCTGTGTAACTCTGATTTTCAAATAAATAAATAAATCTTTTTTAAAATTTAAAAAAAAAAAAAAAAAGACCTGCTCCACCTTTTCAGCCGTGCGACCTGGAATTAATCCCTTCAAACCTCTCGACTGCAGGTTCTCCTGCCAACAGCTCTAACACACCATACTAAACGCAAACGATTAGTACTGAATCACCATGACACAAGGAACAAGGTCACTGGATTTGGCCACAAAAAAATATCTGGGTCCAGAACCCAATTCTGCCCAGCATCTGCCATGTGGGTTTACTCAAAATCACCTCACCTCTGTACACCTTGGTGAAATTATAGATGCACAAGACACATTTCAACCAATGGAAACCAATGGACGCCATCATGGTTAATAACACTACCAAATGGATGCCTTCTAATTAAACTCAAGATTGAGGAGTACCAACCAGAAGCAGAATGAAACACAGGAGGTCGGGACTTCACTCTCGAAGAGTCTGGGGTTGCCCAAAAGAGTAAAGGCAATAAAGGCATTGGCCACTGACCCCTGCTTGTCCAGGAGTCTGTCCTTCGCTTTCATGGGCTTGTGAGTTTTTCTAAGCTCCTCCTCCTGCTGACTTTAGTTTTATACCATCACGGTCAGATACCTACTAAGATTCCAACATCCTTAAGCTCGCTAAGTCTTGTTTTCTGGCCTAATGTATAATCTATCCAGGAGACTACTGCACATGGGTTGAGAAGAATCAAGTATTGGCTTCATTTACAGTCAAGGTTGTTACTGATAGGGAAGGACCTCCTATTGCCACTTTGTTGTTTCCCAGTTGTTTTGTTCTTTTCTTCCTGTCTTCCTTGTAGTGGAGTATTTGCCTTTAGTGGTATGTTTTGTTTTGTTTTGTTTCATTTATTTGAAAGGCAGAGTTACAGAGAGGCAGAGGCACAGAGAGGGGGGAGAGAGGTCTTCCATCCACTGGTTCACTCCCCAAATGGCCACAACAGCCAGAGCTGGGCCAATCCAGGGTCAGGAGCCAGGAGCTTCCTCCAGGTCTCCCACACAGGTTCAGGGGCCCAAGGACTTGGGCCATCTTCTACTGCTTTCACAGGCCATAGCAGAGAGCTGGACTGGAAAAGGAGCAGTTGGGACTCGAACCGGCACCCATGTGGGATGCCAGCATTGCAGGCAGCTTTACCCGCTATGCCACAGAGCCAGCCCCTAGTGGTATGTTTTGATTCCTTGTTCTCTGTGTGTGTGTGCATGTGTGTGTGTGTATGTGTGCGTATCTACTACAGGTTTTACTTTGTGGTTACTAAAATGCTTCCCAAAAAATCCTGTAACAGGTCACTTAAACTGGTAACCTTGATACCCGCCCCCCACTGTCTCACTCTCTCTCTCTCTCTCTCTCACACACACACACACACACTCAAAAGCCTACACTTTTACTCCAGTCTTCTCCCTCACATTTTGATTTTTTGCAACCTAAATTAATTACCTTTTGAGATAACATTTTTAATTTGCATTACAGTCAAAGGCCTAATGGCTTTACTACAGAAGGAGTATGACAAAAAAACAGGTGGAAGGCTTCACAAGTCTGTGTGTCGTCCTTGCACAGGGACCATACTCATTTACCCTGTGTCATTCGAATATCAGAATACATGGGGCCAACATAAGCCCCACGGACTGAATTTCTGATCCTTTTATACTATACATTCCCTGACAAAATATTGCAGCTATCATCATTTACAGTTTTGTCTCTTCACCTTCCTACCAACGACACACCACCATGATCACGCTGGGAGTATTCTGAATTTGACTGTGTACTTTTACCAGTCACTGTTATACTTCCCAATGTTTTTGCGGTATGCACAGTGTCTCTTTTCCTTTCCATTTGAAGAAGTCCCTGTACCATTTCTTTAACACAGATCTGGTGGTGATGGACTCCCTCAGTTTGTGTCTGGGGGAGTCTGGCTGGGTACAGGACCCTGGCTTGGCAGTGTCTGTCCTCTAGCATCTGGATGTGTCTTCCCCCGTCTCTGGCCTCGAAGCTTCTGTGCAGACAGAGTCTACAGCTCAGCTGCCAGACTCCCTCCTCCTACTGGTGTCAGGGTGCTCTCACTGTCCCCGATTTCTGACAGTATGTGCTGGGTCCGTCCTACCTGGACTCAGCATGAGTCCAGCCGTTTAAACTTTGTGCACCTGGATCTTCAATCTTCCTCCAGGTCTGGAAAGTTTTCCACTATTTCTTCAAGCTTCCTCTCCATTCATCTCTCTCTACTCTCTTCAACTCCAGCGACTTCAATGTCTGTTCTCTCGATGCAGACATAAATCCTATAAGTTTTCTTCATTCCTTTTGATTCTGTTTTCTTTTTCTTCCTCTGTGTGTTTTCAATAACCTCTCCTCAAATCCACAGATTCTTTCTCCTGCTTAATTCTGCTTTTTATGCTCTCTGCTGCATTTTTCCTTTCACTCATTTTTTCAATCTCGCTATTAAATGTCTTTCTGATGCCTTATTGTTTCCCTCATTTCTCTGAACTGTGTTCTTGTATTTTCTGGAACTTTGCTGAGCTCCCTAAGTGACTCTGCATTCTGTGGGGAATGCACTCATCTCCAGCTCCGTGGAGTCGGTCGCTGGCACTTTCTTCTCTCTTTCTGGTGATGTCATATGTTCCTGACGGTTCTTGATCCTAGTGGCCGTGTAGCCATGGCTGCATAGTTGAAGAGGCAGGCACTTGCTTCAGTCTTCAGTGACTGATTTTTTCAGGAACAGCCCTCAGCAGACACCTGTCCACAGATACTCCGGGCTGACCATCTCATGAGGCCCCTATACTCGAGGACCACCGTAGCTGTTGCAGCGCTGAGGGACATCCTAGCCTAGAACCATCCTTTTAAAAAATATTTATTTATTTATTTGCGAGATAGAGTTCAGACAGAGAGAGGGAGACACAGAGAGAAAGGTCTTCCAGCTGCTGATTCACTCCCCAAATGGCTGCAGTGACCAGAGCTGAGCTGATCTGAAGCCAGGAGCTTCTTCTGGGTCTCCCATATGAGAGCAGGGGCCCGAGTATTTGGGCCATTTTCCACTGCTTTCCCAGGTGCATTAGCAGAAAGCTGGATTGGAAGAGGAGTAGCAGGGACTCGAACCAGCAGCCATATAGGATGCCAGCATGGCAAAGGCTTAGCCTACTACATATAGCACAGGCCCCACCAGAACCATACATTTTTAAAAACGACAAACATTAGCTCCCTAGGAATGCCTAAGTCATTCTCTCATCAACCTAGGAATAATCCAATGATTCATTTAAACTTTTTTCATGGAATAATTTTATCAATATCAGTTAGCCTAAAATTATCACACTACTACAGTATCTATAAAAAACTGTAAAAATAATCTACCTGCCCAACAAAACGGCAGTAGGTAAACAATTTAGAATACTTCTTGATGAGTAGTTCTTAAATTTTTTTGAGATAACTCCTTAAAAATGAGGAAGGCTCTCAGAGAATGTTTGTTTATGCAGGCTACACTTATCAATATTTGTAATGTTAGAAATTAAAGCCACTAATTTTTAAATACAGAATTATACAAGAATATATCCCATTAGCTATTAGTGTGACAATGTCACATAGCATTTGGAATACTCTACTGTACACTTATGAAAGTGAAAAAAACTAAGCAATATTCCAGTATTGTTGCAATAACCACGCACACAGAGACCTCAGAAGAATCTAGAGGATCTCCAGAGATCCCTGGGCCACACTTTGAAAAGCACTGGACAAGCCCAGGACTCAGGAAATGGGAAGGGTCATGATCGCATACAGGCAGCCACAGGCAGTACATAACCAGCCTGTGGTTCTGTTCCAATAAAACTCTGCAAAAGCAGACAACTGACCAGTCTTGGCCTGTGAGCAATTACTATCTGCGAAATCTGATTTGAGCAATGAAATGCCAGGCAGGTGCTGAAGGCCCCCTGTAAAGATACTCATGCTGACAGTGAAGAACGTTCATCACAGGCTGGTTAGAGGGGGAAGCAGCAGGTCCAGGATGACCTCAGTGTTGGTGGAAGATAAGAGCACGCACGTGTTGTGTGTGTGTGGATATGTCCATATCATGTAATCGTAAAACATCATACACCAAAAGCTATCAACGAGTATATCCCTGGTTGACAGCTTACATGTGATTTTTTTTTCTTATTCTCTCATGGCTACATTTTATGTAATAAAAATGCATTATTGTTATAATGAAATTTTTTAAGTTTTTGATAACTTAAAGAAAAACAGTATTTAGAAAACCAGCACTTACAAATTATAAGACTTCCTTTAAGAAACACAACTGTTAGTTAGCCTAGGGAAATTACTGATGCCATAAACAAGAGTGTCAAATTGTTAAGTCAACAACAGGAGTCACTGTGTACTTACTCCTCATGTGGGATCTCTGTCCTTAATGTTTTGTCCAATGTGAATTAATGTTATAACTAGTACTCAAACAGTATTTTACACTTTATGTTCTGTGTGGATGCAAACTGATGAAATCTTTACTTAATATATACTAAATCGATCTTCTGTATATAAAGATAATTGAAAATGAGTCTTGATGTGAATGGAATGGGAGAGGGAGCGAGAGATGGGAGGGGTGCAGGTGGGAGGGAAGTTATGGGGGGGGAAGCCATTGTCCATAAGCTGTACTTTGGAAATTTATATTTACTAAATAAAAGCTTAAAAAAAAAAAAAGAAACACAACTGTTGGACAGCAAACCCAGCCCACTTGCTTACCAGTTGTACAGGAAACTCTCTGGGGTGCCTCTTCAGTCCCATTTGGTCCTTGGGCAAATATTTCAAAGTGGTAACTGGTCCCGGGGTATAAGTCGCCGATGGTGATGCTCTGGTTGGTGGTGGTTCCCTCCCAGGACCAGCCGGCTCCATCCTGCGTGGCATACAGCCTGAAGGACTCCGAGTCATTGCTGCTCCACGCTAAGCTGACCTCCCTCGTGCTGACACTCGTCACTCGAAAGTCAGAAACCGAACCAGGGACTGTGGGAAAATGGAATGAATAGATTCAGAATCTGGCCAGAAGCCAACCCTCACAAACATCCACACAGGGAGGAAATGCAAGCTTGGGACAACTGGTCTCTCCTCTACTCTGTATCACCACCTACAACAGGAGTCCCTCGGACAGCAGTGTCGCTAGCCAGGCAGAGAGCACTGTGGCCTCACAAGTGCAGACCCCACAGGGGCAGGCGTTGTGCCTCCTGCTTAAGACACTGGATGGGAGGCCCACATCCCATATCACAGTGCTGGGTTCAAGTTCTGGCTCCACTCCTGATTCCGCCTTCCTGCTAACGCATACTCTGGATGGCAGCAGATGATGGTTCTGGGTCTCTGCCACCCACAGGGGAGACCTGCATGGAGCTCCCAGCTCCCAGCTTTGGCCTGGCCCAGCCCTGGCTATTGTGGGTATTTAGGGAATGAGTCAGCAAATGGGACCTCTCTGTGTCCATCCATCTCTCTGTCTCTCCCTCTCTCTCTCTCCCTCTTCTGTCTCTCAAATAAAATAATCAAATAAAATCTAATGTTTTAAAAAAGGAATACAGACATCAGGAGCTTAAGTTGTACAGAGTCATGCACAGGAAATGAGACAAGGCAGAAGCCCCATGGTCAAGGGCTCGGGCTCTGGAGGAGAACCGGGGCTGCTCCAGGCTGCTCGACCTTGAACACATTTCCAAGCCTCCCACAGCCTCTCTTTAGGGAGGTGCAGCAGAGGCTGCTGTTCCCAAAATTCATTCAACACCCTCTTCTTCCTTCGTCATATACCCCCAGAGATTTTATCTGTACTCAGCTGTGGGGAACAAAGACTACATTTCCCAGCCTCCCTTGCAGCAAGATCCAGCCATGTGACTAAGTTCTGGCCAACCCAGTATGAACAGAAGGAAGCCCTGCAAGACTTAAAGATGGGAGCTCTGCTGTTAGCCTGCCGCCTTCCTGTGGCTGGAATATGGATGCGACGGGAGCCTCACTGTGGTGGCGGCTGCAGCTTCCTGACCCCACGCTCTTGGAGCCCGTAGGGACGGCACAGGTTTCCTGATCCCTCTCTCTACTGTCTGTGCCAGGGACAGCGGATGACGTGCCTCACCTCGGTCGGGCTGCCCTGAGGCCCGCTCCCCAGTTGTCACGAGCTGGGGTGCATTCCCCAAGAATCCATATGGTTAAGTTTTAACCCCAACCAAGTAACCCAGGATGTGACTAGACTTAGAGATTGGGTCTTTAATGTGGGAATTACGTCAAAATGAGGTCATCTGGGAGGACCCCAATGGGCTATGGCTGTGTCCTTATAAGAAGAGATTAGGACACAGACAACACACTGGCTAGAGGACCACCATGTAAAGACACAGGGAGAACATGGCCTCCCACAAGCCAAGAGGAGACCAAGTCTGCTATGACCTTGGCTTCTGACTTCCAGTCTCCAGAACTGTGGAACCCAGTATGGCCGTCCCAGCCACCCAACACGTCACCCTTCCACTGATTCCATAACCCTGGAGGCCCAGGACAAACCCCTTTCCACGGAAAGAGCTGTGCGAAGAGCCCTGGCTACGGGCTAAGTCCATGTCCAGAAGCCTTCTCTTTCTGCACCAGTGTCAAACCTGCGGGAGGATCTACCCGATTCGTCACCGACTGATTAGCGGGAGAACACCCAACTCCGGGGCTCTCCCCACTGCTTGCACAGCTTTGCATAATCACTGTGATTAACTCAGATTTGCTTATTAGAAGGTTTCAGCAAGTGTGCCTCCTTCGCATGGCAGTGTGAAACCAATCTCTATGGTTCACAGATTTTGGTATTTTTCCAATCAGAAAAGGGAAAAAAAAAGTTCTCAAATTTGGGGAACAAATAAAAACTACCAATTTTTTTTCCAGAGATATGCTTAAAAAAAAAAACCCCAATTACTATCATCTTTATTTCTTACAGAACCATTTTATGGCCAAAACGCTCAGGTCATAATCCCAGAATGGGCAGTACTTTCAACTGAATATATGAATTTAGTTTGGTCAAAAACTTCTATTGTGTCCTCATTCTCCTCATTTGAGTACAGACCATGGAATGGACCAGTGTGGGTCAGCAATTAAGACTCAATCCTTCATATAAAGCAAAATATAATGTGAGGCCACCTCTGGTCTCCCAGACGTTATACAAACCCAGGCAATCATTTTTGAATTGTGGCAGTGCAGCAGCACCAGCAAATACTTATGGGATAACAGCACATAAAATAACAGTACAGTTTCAACCAAATTAAATCAGCCATCGGTATGGGCTAGAAAAAAAATCACAGAAAATATTGATTTTTTTAATATATCAGGGTTGCATAATTAACTGATTTTTTTCTGTCATTTGCTGTTTCTACCTTCATACCACATCTAAGGACAAAATGGAAACAACAGGGCTTTCAACAAATGAGTATTTCCTGTGATTTTCATACAGCTGTTCATGTTGCCTTGTGTCCACTAGGGGGTGGTAGCGAACAACAGGAGAATGGAGGAAAATGGTACTCACAGTCACCTGCGCACAGGATCTGTAACAGAAACAGAAAACGGAAGTCAGCAGATTCATTCAGCCTTGGAAAATGCAAATCAGACATAAAGCGGTTGAGGATTTAATGCCGGGGTGGGGTGTTAAGAAGTACATTAAGCAACGGCATGCTGTCCTGGGACACCAGACACAGGGACTCAGGAAACGCGCAAGTCAGCTACAGAGGCCTGACTCCCATAGGTGCAGGCTGCAGCCTGGTGGGTACACAGCGTGCTTCCCCACACGCACATCCAACCCTGGAGCAGCCCCCTGTGCCACCGCAGAACGAACTGGGGCCGAGGACAAAGCAGCACCCTCCTTCCCCAGGGCCACCTCCAAGTCGCCGGTGCAGGTGTAAAGCCAGACCTACGGCAGAAAGCCACTGGGGTCTGGGGTTTTCACAGTACGGAAATGCCTCTCCTTCCTCCCACCAGCAGGGGGGGTGGCAGCAGGCTCTTTTGGTGATCCTAGGGGAAGCAGCCCTGGGGAGAATGAGTATTGGAGAGAGCTGGAGCCTTTTCCAATGAGTAGCTGCCAGGGTCTCCATCTTTGGGATCCTCAAGGGTGTTCACTGTGACCCATTAACCACTTCCTCAGTTAAAAGTCTAAAGAAAGTCAAGGTTATGTGTTCTGTTCCTTTGTAAACACACCTTCCAGGATAATGAGATTTTTTTTTCAAAGTACAGACCTCATGAAGAACAAAAGGAAACCCAAGGATGTTGGGGGGAAGCCCTGTGCTCCACCTTCCCACCACACTTAATTAGCATGGAGCTCAAACTCCAGCCCGGCCCACCTGGCCCCCTCGGCCCTCAGTGTCCCATTCCCGCTTGGAGCCTTTGCATAACTATTCCCTCCTCCGAAAGCACTAGGTCCCAGACCTTCCCACGGCATGGCCAAAAACCCTCCACCAGTCCCGGTCTAACCAACAGAGACGAAGGCCCTTCACCCTCCACCTCATCACCGTCTAGGTCCCCATCAGAGCAGAGGCCTCATCAGTGCCATGTGCACACAGAAGACACTGAATCAATGCCACCGAACAAAAAGAATGAGCCCAAAGAGAGGAAGAGGCTGGCCCCGGGGCCCTCCGCTCTCAGATTTTCCATCCCCGCCTCGCACTCTAACTTCAAGCCCTCATCTTGTCAGGCCTAACCACTTCCAGTTCAGCCTCCTGCCTGGACCCCCCTCCAACCTGTGCTGTGCACCCGTCCACATCATCTCTGAAAGATCACAGGAGAGGAGGAGAAAGAGAGAAAAGCCAGGGCCTAGGAAAGTAGCACGGGGCAGCAAACCTTCGTCTGCCCAGTCCTTGGAAAATATGAAGCCACGTGGGCCCAACACGCTAGGATGGCCTGCCCTGGCCATCTCTCGGTATGGTCTCTCTGCCCGTGCATCCGCACACCGTGTCCCCCTCTGGATCCATTCCTTCCTCCACCTGAGTGTCTGCTAAAAACATCCAAGCTCTGGCTCCCGCACTCACCCTGCTTATAGGAACAAAAGGCTCTAAGACGTAGCTAAGTGACCCAACAGAGAAAGCGCTGACGACTCACTGAGAGAGCAACCCTTGAGCACCCGCCTGGGCCAGGCCCTCTGCTCAGGTTGATGGCCCCGACCCAGAGTAGCGTGTCAGGGAGCACGGAGCTCAGGAAATCCAAGTCCAGGGATTGCAGTCGCGTTCCCAGGAGAGCAGCATCCCAGCTCTGAGTCCGTGTTCTCGATGCATCTCAGCAGGTGCCTGGGGGGCACACATGAACTCGACCCTCCCTGCAACCCAGCAGCTGGGTGTGGGTCACAGCTGAGTTGAGCTGCAGGGTCTGCGCGTGAACTCCACACATGGTCTCCAGAGTCCACGTGCGTGACTACCAGCTACATGACCTCCCACTACACAGCAAGCAGAGAGAACTAGGCTAGGATGTAGGGAAAACGAAAATCCCATTTCCAAAGACGACTTGACGGTCCCTTCCTACCCGTCCAGCTCCTTGATGGCTCAGCAGGGTTTCTCCTTGCAGCCTAAGCACCCAGCAACGTGCCGGCCTCACGCCAGGTTCATCACGAAGCAGCAGCCAGTGCCAACCCACATGACATCACAGGGCTCCACGTCGCTGCTGGCCTTGCTCTCTGCCTTTCTAGTCCTCCTCACCTCCCTGGGCCTCACCTCCCCAATATCTGTCAGCTCTTTCCTCTGAACTCAAAGACCCAGAAGGAGACAGAGAGCACGGGGACCTCAGGATCTACAAGGGGAGGGCTCCCAAAGGAGAGCTTCTTCATGAATAAAAAGGAAGGCACAAGGGGGGAAAAAATACTACCCTGCTTTGGGATCTGCCTGTGACATCTGGAGCTGCAGCAGCCACTCCGTGAAAACATACACCTGCTGGAGATGGCTGAAGGGAAAGTGGGTCAACACCTGGATCCCGGAGCTGCTAATCAACCTACTCTAGACGCCCCCTACTGCAGGCTCCTTGCTCAGGGAGATAAACTCCCCTTCCGCTTAAAGGACCCCTGTTTGTACTGCCTACTGCTGGCAACAAAACAATACCCACTGACAAAATAACAAAGCAAGATAAGTAATTTCCACATTGACTCGTTTCTTACAGATGAAACAAAACGAAAAACCAAGGCTCCCGCGTCACAGGGTGAGTCCACGCCTGCCAGCTCCCAACACCACCCCCAGATAAAATATTCCTGTAAACCACACCCAGCAAGCTATCTGGCAAGGCAGAGCCTTCATGCATATTTTTTTAAAGACTACAATGGACAGAAAGCTCATCTTTCTAAAATTAACGCAAAGCCTACTGCGCATGGAGGGGGAAAAGATGGGTGGAGGCCCCGTTTCCACAGATTCGTACATTGAGCATCAAAGCCAACGGCAGAAAGAGGAAGTCCAGCTTCCTACCACAGCCCTTCCCCTCCCTAGAGGGCCCCAAAAGGCACTGGGGGCCGTGCACCAAGAAGGGCTCCACGGAAACAGGCCCTCGAGGCTACCAAAGCTGCTGGCGTAGAAGAAGAGAATATGCTGGTTACCAGCGGCTACCACGCCTGGTGAGGGGAGGACGCGGCAGGGGATGAGGAGAGCTGGGTCAATAGTCGCAAAGCTGCAACAGACAGGAGGAAGGTGTTCCCGAGTTCTGCACACGGTGAGTGGGGTGACCAGAGTTAACAGAGTGGGTCACTTCCAAACAGCCAGGAGAAGGGGAGGGGACGTCTCATCACACAGAAATGATGACTGCTCCAAGTGAGGGCTCCTCCAGTGTCTCCCATCCCAGCAGTGCATAATACACGCATGTCGAACGGCGGCACGGTGGCGCAGTAGGTAAAGCCACTGCCTGTGGTGCCGGCATCCCAGACGGGCACCGGTTCAAAGTCTCAGCTGCTCCACTTCTGATCCAGCTCTCTGCTATGGCCTGGGAAAGCAGTAGAGGATGGCCCAAGTCCTTGGGCCCCTGCACCCACGAGGGAGACCTGGTAGAAGCTCCTGGCTCCTGGCTTCGGATCAGCACAGCTCTGCCCACTGCAGCCATTTGGGAAGTGAACTTTCTCTCTCTCTCTCTCTCTCTGCTTCTGCCTCTCAATCTTTTTAAACAAAAACTGTATGCATATCAAGCAGTACAGGATAGCCCATAAGTAGGCAGAACACTTTTCTCAAAGTGCCTGGGTTCAATTCCTGGCTCTGATTCTAGCTTCCTGCTAATGCGTACCCCACAAGGCAGCAGATAACGGTTCAAGTACTTGGGTCCCTGCCACCCACATGGGAGACCTGGATGGAGTTTCAGCTCTTGGCTTGGGCCTGGCCCAGCCCTGGCTGTTACAGGCACCTGGGGAGTGAACCAGCAATTTGGTGCTTGTATGTGTGCTTTCTCACTCCTCCCTCTCCCTCTCTCGTAAATCAATTTTTATAAGGTAAAATGTCTAGAGAAACACCACTTTTCACTCCCTACTTCCCTCAGAAGAAAATGAAATAAAGTATGCAAAGACAAACAGTGCCAGGGGACTTACCAGACTTCGAGATCTGCTCCCTTCCCTCTTACGCTCTGACACTTTTCCCTTCTGTCTTTAGCACACTCATCAATCAGAGGGTCAGGAATAAGCCCACCCCGAGATCAGGATCAGAGGGCACCAGAAGTCCCAGCGCCTGAACCAGAGCCGAATCAGAGGATGGAGCTTGCATAAGACAGCAGGTGCTGCAGCAGCGCTGTTGCCAGGAGCAACAGGGCAGAAGCAATCAACCGCCCACCAAGAGGTGAATGATGAACAAAGTGTGGTACGTCCACATCACAGAACAGCCATCAGTCATACGGAGGAATGAAGTCTTTTTTTTTTTCTTTAAGATGTATTTATTTATTTGAGAGGCAGAGTAACAGACAGAAAGAGAGACAGAGAGAAGAATCTTCCAGCTGCTGGTTCACTCCCCAGATGGCCGCAATGGCTGGAGTTGGGCCAATCCAAAGACAGGAGCTTCTTCCAGGTCTCCCATGTGGGTGCAGGGGCCCAAGCACTTGGGCCATCTTCCATTGCTTTCCCAGGCCATAGCAGAGAGCTGGATTGGAAGAGGAGCAACTGAGACTCAAACCACCGGTGCCCATAAGGGACATCGGCACCGCAGGCGGAGAATTAATCTACAACGCCACGGCGCTGGCCCCAGGAATGAAGTCTTGATTCCAGCTCCAACATGGATGAGTCTCGACCACATTATGACAAAGAAGCCAGACCCAGAAGCCCACACGTTGGATGATTTCACTTACACAAAGGCCCAGAAAACGGAACCCTATAGAAACCGAAAACAGGCCAGGAGGCGCCAGGGGCTGGGAGGAAGGGGAAGGAGAGGTGGCAGCTAACAGCTGTCATAACCCTGCGGGCAATGGACACATCTGGAGTCACACAGAGGTGACGATGGTTGCACACTGCCAGGGACGGACCAGATGCCGTTCAACCATGCGCTCTAACAGCGTTCATTTTGTATTCTATAAATTTCACTGCAGTTTTTTAAATAGAGAGCAAGTGGGCGACTAT